TTTACACAATGCAGAGGATTACCCCCTTAAGTTCCACAGTGAGTATAACCAACACGCTTTACTGCATCTACAGACTGATTTTACTGTTGTGGGTTTTTAGTAACACTTTACCGCGTCACACCTCGTATGTCTCTAATGACAGACTCCCTTGAATGAGGGCAGCTATAAGGGGCCTGCCGTTATTTTGGAAGATAAAGGTGCTGGAGGTGTCATCTTCATCCACGCTTCACATCACAGCAAGCCCCCGCTCTGGATCAAACATATAGAATGGGACTTCTCCCTTCTCCAGCTCCAGGATTAGGGACCCCTTTGTATTGGTTGTAGAAATTGAACCATTGGGCGATGGCTGTAGGGATGCCTAGTGGTACCCTTCCATCAGCCCACCAGAGAGGTGTGAGGTGCAGGATGTCTCCGCAGCTCTTCTACTTCCCTTGTGAACAGGGGCAGACGGACAACTCATGGGGCCCCCCGGCAATAGGGGATCAGGGGGCCCCTGTGTCCTCGCACACACTCAAACCACACCCAAAAAAGCCAATGAAAGGTACCAGGGACATCTCATGGGGCCCCTACTTACCCCAGGCCCTCGGGCAGTGCCCGAGTTCCCCAATGGTCAGTCCGCCCCTGCTTGTGAATCAGTAACCACAAGCAATTACAGGGGGCGGTTTCTGTCGGTGGATCCCGCCCATCACATGATCAGTCCGTAGAGGCTCCAACACTGGCAGTGGCGTCGCTGTACATAGAGTGGGGATCTGCACAGAGATTGGGCAATGTTGGGATACAATGGATGTGTATATAGTTCAGGAGCAGGGGCGGACTGACCATTCGAGCATTAGGGCACTGCCCAAGGGCCCGGGGTCAGTAGGGGGCCCCATGAAATGCCCCTGGTGCCTTTTGTATAGCTTTTTTTGAGTGTGGGCAAGGACACAGGGGCCCCATGATCCCCTATTGCCCAGGGGCCCCATGAGTTGTCAGTCCGCCCCTGTTCAGGAGCCTGCGACACATTGGTATAAAAGTGAGCAGTACATGGCGGGGATGATCTAGAGCCGGTGACACCCAGAGAAGGACGTAGAGGTCTCACTCCTCTTAGCAAGCCGTCAGCATGAGACCAAAGGAGCAGAATACATAAGACGATTTATAGAATATCACACACAATTATGAGATCATCGTCTCCGGAATATTCCACTAGGACACAACCGTCCGATGAACTTATTGTGGTTCAGCTACTGAAAATCAGCTGATCTGCCTCTGTCCCCCATCCCCCTCCACAAGAAAAAACTTCACAGGAACGGTGACAGGGTCTCTGTAAAGCTAGGGAGTTTTTTTTTTTTTTTTTTACCACAATGCAGAGAATGTGTTGAAGTGAATATTAAATTCATTTTTTTTGTTATAACCACTTGATGATCAACGACGTACCCGTACATCGCCGGACTTCACATGGTTATATCGGGCTGACGCTGCAGGCAATATAGTTACATAGTTAGTCTGGCTGAAAAAAGACAAAAGTCCATCCAGTTCAACCATTATAAAAAAAAAAAAAAAAAAGTTATAATCCTACACCCACAGTTGATCCAGAGGAATGCAAAAAAAACCAGCAAAGCATGATCCAATTTGCTCCTGCAAATTCCTTCGAGAGGCGATCAGATCTTCCCTGGATCATCTTTACCTATAAATGTCAGTATCCAGTTATATTCTGTGTATCCAAGAAAGAATCCAGGACTTTCCTACAGCAATCCACTGAGCTGGCCAGAACCAACTCTTGAGGGAGTCTATTCCACATTTTCACAGCTCTCACTGTGAAGAAACCTTTCCATGTTTGGAGATTAAACCTCTTTTCCTCCAGATGTAAAGAGAGCCCCCTTGTCCTCTGTGATGACCTCAGGGGGAATAACTCTACACCGAGTTCACTATATGAACCACTGATGTATTTATACATGGAGATCATATCCCCCCTTATGCATTTATACATGGAGATCATATCCCCCCTTATGTATTATACATGGAGATCATATCCCCCCTTATGTATTATACGTGGAGATCATATCCCCCCTTATGTATTATACGTGGAGATCATATCCCCCCTTATGTAATATACGTGGAGATCATATCCCCCTTATGTAATATACGTGGAGATCATATCCCCCCTTATGTATTATACGTGGTGATCATATCCCCCTTTATGTATTATACGTGGAGATCACATCCCCCCTTATGTATTATACGTGGAGATCACATCCCCCCTTATGTATTATACATGGAGATCACATCCCCCCTTATGTATTATACATGGAGATCACATCCCCCCTTATGTATTATACATGGAGATCACATCCCCCTTATTTATTATACATGGTGATCATATCCCCCCTTATGTATTATACATGGAGATCATATCCCCCCTTATGTATTATACATGGAGATCATATCCCCCTTATGTATTATACATGGAGATCATATCCCCCCTTATGTATTATACATGGAGATCATATCCCCCCTTATGTATTATACATGGAGATCATATCCCCCCTTATGTATTATACATGGAGATCATATCCCCCTCTTATGTATTATACATGGAGATCATATCCCCCTCTTATGTATTATACATTGAGATCATATCCCCCCTTATGTATTATACATGGAGATCATATCCCCCTTGTGTACTATACATGGAGATCATATCCCCCCTTATGTATTATACATGGAGATCATATCCCCTCTTATGTATTATACATGGAGATCATATCCCCCCTTTATGTATTATACATGGTGATCATATCCCCCCTTATGTATTATACATGGAGATCATATCCCCCCCTTATGTATTATACATGGAGATCATACCCCCCCTTATGTATTATACATGGAGATCATACCCCCCCTTATGTATTATACGTGGAGATCATATCCCCCCTTATGTATTATACATGGAGATCATATCCCCCCCTTATGTATTATACATGGAGATCATATCCCCCCTTATGTATTATACATGGAGATCATATCCCCCCTTATGTATTATACATGGTGATCATATCCCCCTTATGTATTATACATGGAGATCATACCCCCCCCCTTATGTATTATACATGGAGATCATACCCCCCTTATGTATTATACATGGTGATCATACCCCCCCTTATGTATTATACATGGTGATCATATCCCCCCTTATGTATTATACATGGTGATCATATCCCCCCTTATGTATTATGCATGGTGATCATATCCCCCCTTATGTATTATACATGGAGATCATATCCCCCTTATGTATTATACATGGAGATCACATCCCCCCTTATGTATTATGCATGGAGATCACATCCCCCCTTATGTATTATACATGGAGATCACATCCCCCCTTATGTATTATACATGGAGATCACATCCCCCCTTATGTATTATACATGGAGATCATATCCCCCTTATTTATTATATATGGTGATCATATCCCCCCTTATGTATTATACATGGTGATCATATCCCCCCTTATGTATTATACATGGAGATCATATCCCCCCTTATGTATTATACATGGAGATCATATCCCCCTTATGTATTATATATGGTGATCATATCCCCCCTTACGTATTATACATATTGATCATATCCCCCCCCTTATGTATTATATATGGTGATCATATCCCCCCCTTACGTATTATACATGGAGATCGTATCCCCCCTCGTGTATTATACATGGAGATCATATCCCCCCTTATGTATTATACATGGAGATCATATCCCCCTTATGTATTTATACATGGAGATCATATCCCCCTTATGTATTATACATGGAGATCATATCCCCCCTTATGTATTATACATGGAGATCATATCCCCCCTTATGTATTATACATGGAGATTCATATCCCCCCTTATGTATTATACATGGAGATCATATCCCCCTTATGTATTATACATGGAGATCATATCCCCCCTTATGTATTATACATGGTGGTCATATCCCCCCTTATGTATTATACATGGAGGTCATATCCCCCCTTATGTATTATACATGGAGATCTTATTCCCCCTTATGTATTATACATGGAGATCATATCCCCCCTTATGTATTATACATGGAGATCATATCCCCCCTTATGTATTATACATGGTGATCATATCCCCCCTTATGTATTATACATGGAGATCATATCCCCCCTTATGTATTATACATGGAGATCATATCCCCCCAATAATCTCTTCTTCTAAAGAGAGAATAAATTCAGTTCCTCTAATCTTTCCTCATAGCTGATCTCCTCCATGCCTCTTATCAGTTTGGTTGCCCTTCTCTGTACTTTCTCCAGTTCCCCAATGTACTTTTTGTGAATTGGTGCCCAAAACTGAACTGCATATTCCAGATGAGGTATTACTAATTATTTGTACGGGGGGGGGGGGGGGGTGTAATATGATATCTCTCTCTCTGTGGAGTCTATACCTCTTTTAATACAAGAGAGGATTTTGCTCGCTTTAGAACCCGCAGCTTGGCATTGCTGCCATTATTAAGCTTGTGATCTACCAGAACTCCCAGATCCTTCTCCACCATTGATTCCCCAGTTGTACCCCCCCTAGTATGTATGATACATGTATATTCTTAGCACCCAAGTGCAGAACCTTACATTTATCAACATTAAACCTCATTTGCCACATAGTTGCCCAATTACACAGAGCACTGATGTCAGCCTGTAAGGCAGGCATCATCCCGCAATCGTTTTTTTTTTGCTGCCGACGGCTGGCTCTCTTGTTGTAAAAGCAAACTGAGTGGCTAACTAGCTGCTGTATTTCTATTACAAGCAGCAGGAGGAGACGCTGCCTCCCTCTGCCGCCTTCCACAGCTTTAAACAGGCTGTCCTGTCCCATCGGATCAACCAACTGGAGCTTCAAGTCAGCAAACATGTCACACTTACCTCTGCAGCCCCTCCCTCACTGTTCTGCCCCCCCCCCCTTCCCCTCCCCCAGTACTCCTGTGCCTGGTGAGACTAGTTCAGGTCTAATAATATTACCATTCATAGTGCTGGTCTACCAAAAATTGTTTTATAACCCTCCTATCCAGGCAATCACTTACCGTCAATGCAGCTCGTCCAATTCGAACAACCCCAAAGTCATTGGGGTCCCAGTACTGTGCCCCATACACACCGAGACCGGTTGTGGCCAGACCCGCCGAGACCAGCGACATGAGCCGGAGGGGAGCCCGCACCATCCTGGGGAGCCTGCATATAGAAGATCAGTGTTAATGGTATACGGTACAGGTAGGGCAACACCTAACCAAAGAAGGGGATTGGCTGAGGTGTAGGGGTCATCTCACACCTAAAATGGAATTCCCAGCAACCACTCTTGTGAGGCTGAACCTGATTGGTTGCTAGAAGGCCAGAGCCTTAGGGTTGCCAGCATCCTAGCAACCAATGATGTTGTGATGCTGTGCCTGACTGGTTGCTAGAATGCAGGCTGGATAGGAGGGTTTATAAATTGTTTTATAATTTTTGGTAGAGCAGCACAATGAATGGTAATATTATTAGAGCTGAACTATTCTCACCAGGCACAGGAGTACTGGGGGAGGGGAAGGCAGAACATCACAAGGAATGCAAATATCCCCTATAACTTCATTGAGCATTGACAGGTACTCTTTTTTTGAGAAATCTGGGGGTCTATCAGACTCTAGATATCTCCTCTGCCCTTACATTATCTAATCTCACCAAGATCAGTGTGATCACATGCTTTCCCAATTTACAAATGGCGCTGTTTATATCCTGCGAAAAAAAAAGTGATGAAATGCTCGTAGCTTCGATTTCTTAGACTATAGAGATGATTGGCGCCATTCTGTTCTCCAATCAGCTCTATGGTCAGCTGGCAGAAACACTGGCTGCATTCTCAGATTCCCCCGATGGCACGAGACTGCCCGAGAAGGCCATGGAAGGCAGAGGGAGGCATCGTCTCCCACTGCTTGCAAAAGCAATCCTGCAGCTAACTAGCCACTAGGATTGCTTTTACACGAAATCCAATAGCCGGCTGAAAAAAAAAACGATACCAGGATGATGCCTGCAGCTGTAGGGATCATCCTGGTATAACCATTCAAAGTCCAGTGATGTACCAGTACATTGCTGGTCCTTGTTGGGTGTATATGCTATGTTCTTTTTTTTTTTATGAAGCCAGTGGGCTGAGGAAGAAAATCTCTGCCCAGAAAAAGCGTGTGGTATGCCCACCATTAGAATATACCGCCCTGCATTCACCCACTTCTAATGGTGGGCACACATTAGGTCGCACGGTGCCACATGCGCCAGTTCCAACATTGTACAAATGTCTAGATAGTGGCACGCTTGAATAAAAATTGTCCACATATAAGTGGTACCCCATATGGAGAAATGATGACACCAAGTCCCAAACTATCTTGCCGCTGCTCCCCGTGTAGTCTGGGCATCCGGGGGGCTCCACGTGACTATCTTTTCCCCTCGTAAATCTGAAACTTATATGTATAGCCTGTTGTCCTCTCACAGGTCTTCTACATCTTGACCCCATATCTGGCACGCTTGCTGGGAAAAAATTGTTTGAATGCAAGGCGGCCAGAAAAATTAATGAGGGACTCATCAACGCAGATGTTTTGCTGCGGAGTATAGACATCTGCAAATTTTTGGTTAAGGTGATTTATGAGGGGCTGAATTTTGTGGAGCCGGTCAAATTCAGGGTTACCCCGAGGATGATTGTATTGTCGTAGAAATGCATAAAACACATTATACTCTCATACAGTGGGGCAAAAAAGTATTTAGTCAGCCACCAATTGTGCAAGTTCTCCCACTTAAAAAGATGAGAGAGGCCTGTAATTGGCATCATAGGTAGACCTCAACTATGAGAGACAAAATGAGAAAAACAAATCCAGACAATCACATTGGCTGATCTGGAAAGAATTTATTTGCAAATTATGGTGGAAAATAAGTATTTGGTCAATATCAAAAGTTCATCTCAATACTTTGTTATATATCCTTTGTTGGCAATGACAGAGGTCAAACGTTTCCTGTAAGTCTTCACAAGGTTGGCACACACTGTTGCTGGTATGTTGGCTCATTCCTCCATGCAGATCTCCTCTAGAACAGTGATGTTTTGGGGCTGTCACTGGGCAACACGGACTTTCAACTTCCTCCAAAGGTTTTCTATGGGGTTGAGATCTGGAGACTGGCTAGGCCACTCCAGGACCTGGAAATGCTTCTTACGAAGCCACTCCTTTGTTGCCTGGGCGGTATGTTTGGGATCATTGTCATGTTGGAAGACCCAGCCACGTTTCATCTTCAATGCCCTTGCTGATGGAAGGAGGTTTGCACTCAAAATCTCACGATACATGGCCCCATTCATTCTGTCCTGTACATGGATCAGTCGTCCTGGTCCCTTTGCGGAGAAACAGCCCCAAAGCATGATGTTGCCACCCCCATGCTTCACAGTAGGTATGTGGTGTTCTTTGGATGCAACTCAGCATTCTCTCTCCTCCAAACACGGTGAGTTGTGTTTCTACCAAACAGTTCTATTTTGGTTTCATCTGACCATATGACATTCTCCCAATCCTCTTCTGGATCATCCAAATGCTCTCTAGCAAACTTCAGACGGGCCCGGACATGTACTGGCTTAAGCATGGGGACACGTCTGGCACTGCAGGATCTGAGTCCCTGGCGGAGTAGTGTGTTACTGATGGTAGCCTTTGTTACGTTGGTCCCAGCTCTCTGCAGGTCATTCACTAGGTCCCCCCGTGTGGTCCTGGGATTTTTGCTCACCGTTGTTGTGATCATTTTGACCCCACAGGGTGAGATCTTGCGTGGAGCCCCAGATCGAGGGAGATTATCAGTGGTCTTGTATGTCTTCCATTTTCTAATTATTGCTCCCACAGTTGATTTGTTCACTCCAAGCTGCTTGCCTATTGCAGATTCAGTCTTCCCAGCCTGGTGCAGGTCTACAATTTTGTTTCTGGTGTCCTTCGACAGCTCTATGGTCTTCACCATAGTGGAGTTTGGAGTGTGACTGTTTGAGGTTGTGGACAGGTGTCTTTTATACTGATAACAAGTTCAAACAGGTGCCATTGATACAGGTAATGAGTGCAGGACAGGGGAGCCTCTTAAAGAAGAAGGTACAGGTCTGCGAGAGCCAGAAATCTTGCTTGTTTGTACGTGACCAAATACTTACTTTCCACCATAATTTGCAAATAAATTCTTTCCAAATCAGCCAATGTGATTGTCTGGATTTGTTTTCTCATTTTGTCTCTCATAGTTGAGGTCTACCTATGATGCCAATTACAGGCCTCTCTCATCTTTTTAAGTGGGAGAACTTGTACAATTGTTGGCTGACTAAATACTTTTTTGCCCCGCTGTATCTATGCCTGGCCATGGCAGCAGATAACACGGCATATGATGAATCGGGTCTGCGGACCAATACAACCGAAATTAATTTCTTTTAGTAATGCCCATGTTGAGGGTTAGGCCCCCCAAAAAATTTTAATTTGGAAACCGTAATGAGTTTCCATGCGAATGGTCTGGCAAGGTTTGAATTTGGATTGGCGTTGTAAACAATGCATCCCTCCTCCCTGTCAGTGTTTGCCGGCATGTAATCATGGGTGGTTGACACCCAGGGCTGCGATTGGCGGCGCGGGTAGGGCGGTTGCGCCCCCCCCCCCAAACGGAAATGCAAAATCACGTATATACACACGTGATTTTGCTCAGTGGGCCCGCCTTGCAGCAGTATATGTACTGTGGGTGGGACTTAAGTGGTTAAGGCATCAATGCATTTTTTTAGTGGTTTTTGCAGAAACGCACAACAGTCTATTTAACATGGTTTCCTATGGGACACGTTCACATCTCTGCGTTTTAGAGCTGCTGAGCTTTTGGAGAAGGTCATGGAGTTTTTTTTTTTTTTTTTACAGCAAAAAACAGCATTTTTGCTACAATAGAGCTCAATGGAGAACCGTTTTGGCAGTGCGTTTTTACTGTGTTTTGCATTTTTATTCTGCCCAGCAACAAAAAAAAAAAAAAAAAAAAGCTGAGCAAAATGCATCAAAAATGCGTGTAGTAAAAATGCAAAATGAACTGTGAAAAGCACTGCACAATGGACAAAAAGCAAACTGCATAGGTGTGAATGGGGCCTAATTGTTAACGGCATCATCGCGTTCCAAACTGCACGGTGCCCCAGGATCATCATGCGTTTTGGTGTGCAGATTGTTTTGGGAAGAGGGTCGGGGACGTCTTTTCCACATTTCTCTGGCATAGGGCAGCCCCCTGAAATGAACAGGCTACCCTATATGTGACACGCGAAAAACGCATGAGAACGCGCACGTGCTTGGTGTCGCCCCCCGCAGGTGTGAAACAAGAATGACAGGTCAGCCCTGATGAAGAGAGACTTTCATACACCCGAAACGTGTTGAGTGCCAACTTTTTTGAGATTTATTGTGACAAATTAAAATTATATGTGAGCCGATCCCTATGGTTTGTCCCTCTCATCCTTCCACTGCACATAAAGAGAACCTGTCACTGATAGAAAGGCGGAATCTCCATCCCGGATCAATCCTCCACCCCGTACAATGAGAACATTAATATAACTCACTGTTACTATGCTATATGTATGCCAATATTTATTACTGCTAATAATATATTACACTAAGAATGATTGCCCCTTCCTTTGACAGGTTGCCCTCCACCCTATAGTAGAAGTACTGCTACAGGGCGGCAGGGCTGCGCAAAATCACATATATATACGTGATTTGCATTTCCGGCTAGGGGGAGAGCACGCACCGCCATTGGAGGTTATGGATGTCAATCATCGGCACCCAGCGATCGCCCAGTAACACTAACAGGGGAGAGATCTGTGTGTTAACAATGCAGGTCTCTCTCCTGCCAGCAAGGACATGCTGCTTTGTATTTCTCTGCACAGCAGCATGTCTTCCGAGTAAAACACACACAGCTAACCCTTTGATCACCCCAGATGTAAACCCCTTCCTGCCCAGTGCTATTACTACAGTGTCAGTGCTTTTTATTAGCACTGATCACTGTATTGGTGTTACTCAGGGCTGGATCTAGCCTGGGAGTGCAATAACAAATGTCAGGGGGGCAGAGAATGGGAGGTCAGCAGGGCAGTGTACAGGGGTCAGCGGGGCAGAGCACGGGGGTCAGCAGGGTCAAAGGTCACAACAGGCAGCAGAGCTCCTCCTCCCCACACAGCTTGGATTTTGGGGGGCACAGCTAAAATCTGGGGGGGGGGGGGAATGTGTCCGTGGAAATTAGTCAGTTCCCCCCCAGTGTCAGAATGCTCGCTGCAGTTCTGATTGCCGCCATTACTAGTATTAAAAAAAATCATATAATTTCCAGTCTCTATACCGCCATTTGTAAACGCTATAACTTTCACATAAACCAATTAATTTACACATATTTGGATTTTTTTTTTTAGCAAAGACATGTCACAGAATACATTTTGGCTGAAATTTATGACAAAATTTGATTTTTAAATGTTTTTTCTGGACAAGTTTTATGGCAAAAAGTCAAAAATATATATATTTTTTTAAATTATCGGTCTTTTTTTGTTTTATAGCACAAAAAATAAAAGCCGCACAGATCAAATACCACCACAAAACTCAATTTGTGGGGAAAAAAGTCCGTAAATCTCAATGGGGTGCAGCGTTGCATGACCGCGCAATATTCAAAGTAACGCAGCGGCGTAGCGCAAAAGATGGCCTGGTCAGGAGGGGGGGGGAATCCTCAGGAGGGCAAGAGGTTAAACATAACAATGGCAGTCCCATGAGTGGTGAGGACAGATGATAATATTCATAGTAATGACACATCAACACATAACAACATGAAGAGGTCACATGTCCCTGCAATCAGGACTCTCAGTGTTTCTCCCACTGACACATGCAGGGGCCGACTCTGGTTTCTATGGGGCAGCACAGGCCGACCAGCTGTATCACCTACCTGCAGTCTGGCTTCTCCTATCTGACCGGCTCCCTCCCCCCTTTCCCCGGTGTTGGTAGCTTCCAGCGGCCGCGGTGACCTCTGGGAAATGTAGTACGCGGCTCCGCGCTGATCTATGGGCTTGGAGGATTTAAAGCATACAAGGGGTGTGGCTAGAACAAACCACCTTACACAGGTGTGGGGTGAGCTTCGCTGGAAGTTACACAAGTTACACCGGCATTATATGTCCCCAGACAGGATCATTTCCTTCCCATTTTCTCTCAATGATCTCTATATGTCTCCTGCCCGACGCCATCTTTTCTAAGCCTTTCCCATACTCCATCTATTGTGGACTTCACAAAAATGGCGGAAAAGCAAGTAGGGTGGGAGGAGAGGTCAGGCTATGGAAAAGTACAATGCCCAATCAGAAAGCGAGCTTTGGCCACGTGGCCGTCTGTCCTCAGCTTGAGATGCTGGGCGGGGCGAACGTCGGTGCCGTGTTTACGTGACGTATCTCCTCTTCCGGCGCGTCGAAGTGTCATATCCGGCGGGGAGAAGCTGTGAAGATGTCGCTATCCAGGTGAGCGGGCGGGTGTTTTCAGAGTTTTCTCGGCGGGCTGCTCTTTATTGACCATTCCTGGTAGTATTCGGTGACATCCGGTGTGACGGTTGGAGACGGTTCATCGTCCCCTGAACGATTCTCTCAGATCTAGTCCTGGCCAAGAGCCCCTCCCCCTCAGTGCCTGCCCCATTATAACTGGGATATACCCAGAATGAGATCCTCACAGGGCCCATTACAGGTTAAAAGCCATTCTCAGTCATGAGTTGCCCCTAAAATAATCCCTGGTTATCCTACCATGGAGGTCACTTTCTGTTATAGGGTGACAACGCTCTCTCCTTGGCTCCCCATTCCCCTGCTGTGTTGTCACCCTGCCTCAGGGACTGCTGTTGAACACAGACACTGTCCACTGTTGTCACCATCAGTAAACCCGCCCTGAGAAACGCTGTTCGGCCATCGCTGAGGCGCCTGTGGACAGGAACAAGCTACAAAGAGGCTGCAGGAGATCAGCAGAGGTGTTCATGTCATCAGTGGAAATCTTTTCAGCATCATCTTTGTCAGCAGCATGTTTCCAGTGATGAAAACTAAACGAGTTTTCCACAATTGATGACAAAAATCAATTCCAATTGTCACTGAATGAGAACGGAGAGAAAATGTGAGAGAGGAACGCTTTACTTATAAGGGCCCCATGTACACAGGGCGTTTGGAAAACTCGTCTGAACGATGGAAACTGACTGGAAAACGGAGGTTAAAGTCAGTTTAGTTGCGTTTATGTGCATTTGCGTTTAGAAGCGGTTTTAACCGCCTCCCACCCGCCAGATAGTATAATGACTGGCGCAAGGCGGTTCTCTGGTTCTGGGAGGACGTCATATAACGTCGCATTCTAACCGCGCATGCTCGGCTCCGAGAGCACGCGGCGATCGGCGGTGCGCTGTGTTCCTTGGACACAACAGATCACCAATCAATGGAAAGAGGCGAAGATGTCGGCTTGGTCATGTGATCTGCTGTGTCCAATCACAGCTGATCACACGTAAATAGGGAAATGCCGGTTATCGGCATTTCTCTCCTCACGAGCTGTCATGCTGACAGAGGAGAGGAGAGCCGGTAATCAGCATTCCTTAGAGGAGACATATACACTGATCATCAGAGCCCTGATCAGTGTAGTCCCAGCAGTGCCACCTGCCAGTGTCCATCAGTGCCACCTGCCAGTGCACATCAATGCCACATATCCGTGCCCATCTGAGCTGCCTTTCAGTGTCACCCATCAGTGCTGCCTAACAGTGCCAGTCAGTGCCACCTAACGGTGCCATATATGAGTGCTGCCTTTCAGTGCCTACCAGTGTCTCCTCATCAGTGCCCATCACTGCAGCCTCATTAGCGCACATCAGTGAAGGAGAAAAATCACTTGTTTATAAAATTTTATAACAAAAACTAAGAAAAAACTTTTTTTTTTTCAAAATTTTCTGTGGTTTTTAGTTTAAGAAAAAAAAAAAATCCCCGAGGTGATTAAATACCACCAAAATAAAGCTCTATCTGTCTCAAAAAAAGGCCTGCGGGGAGGCGCTTGCGCGTTGAAGCCTGCGGGGAGGCGCTTGCGCGTTGAAGCCTGCGGGGAGGCGCCAGCGCGTTGATGCCTGCGGGGAGGCGCCAGCGCGTTGATGCCTGCGGGGAGGCGCCAGCGCGTTGATGCCTGCGGGGAGGCGCCTGCGCGTTGATGCCTGCGGGGAGGCGCCTGCGCGTTGATGCCTGCGGGGAGGCAGTGTGTGAACCCAGGCACCAGGACATAATTTTTAGTTGTCATGGCAACCTGGCACCTGGAATTTGCTGAGCCCTGATCTGTAGGAAAATGATAGTCCACGCACTATGAGATCTATATCTGACAATCAATCTCTCCTAATGACCTATCTCTTTTCTGAGGCCTGAAAATGCTAAAACAGTGCAAATATCCCCCAAAGGACCACAATGTGGCTACTTCTAACCTGGCTCCTAATCACACATTGCCTCTTTCTTGATCTTAGACTGGAGCCATTTAACCTTCCAGCATGTCTGTGGAGTGTGGGAGGAAACCCACCCAAGCACAGAAAGGACAAGCAAACTCCATGCAGACAGTGTCCGGACTGGAATTCAAACTGAGGACCCCAGTGCTGTAAAGCAGAAAGGATAATCACTTGGGCACCTTTTTTTTTTTTGCTGTCTTGTGTTGCCTGTTTCTCCTCACTTCCTGTCTGTGAAACCTGATGTCCCCAGGACAGGAAGTGAGGGGAAGCGGAGCCCTGGATAGCAGCACATTCCTGTAAGTAGATCCACTCTGTCCAGTTGTGGTGGGAAATAAACTTTAATTCCCCGGCAAACAGTGAAATATCATCTCTGGGTGGTGTGACCCTGTGAGTGTTTTAGCTGTCACTTTTCTGTGTCACAGAGTGAGTCCTGCGGGAAAGTTCGGGGATTTACACTGGTGAACAACAGATGATGCGGGGTTCTATTAGGTGGTATATTACAGTTGGAATGCGCTGCCTATAAATGATAGATCTCCAGCCGCGGTCACACATGACGATCTTTCTGGGGGAATTGACTGTCTCTTCTTTCCAGCTGCAGTCACATATTTCAGTGTCGGGTGGTCTGTCCGTCTCTTCTCTCCCCAGCTTCCTGCCCGCTCCCACTCAGCTCTCCCAGGACCAACTGGAGGCTGAGGAGAAGATCAGAGCCCACAAGTCTCAGCAGACGGCTTTGGTGGCATCACGAAGAGAACCGCCCCCTTATGGGCATCGGAAAGGCTGGGTGCCCCGATCTGTGGAGGTGAGTGTCATCAGGGTTGTGAGATCTACATTGGCTCTATCAGCCAGTATGGCGGCTCCTCATGGGTGGAACTAAAGTGGGCAGGTTAGAATGCAGATTGGACAGATTATTACACCAACGTTGGTGAATTCTGCATGGCATTTATGTTTTGTTTCTTGTGTTTCAAAGTTATTTGCATTTGGGGGCAGAAGGGCGGGGGGGGGGGACAAAATTGTAATGCAGAACAATTTGGAATCATAGACTGGGTCCCTAGAGGGGTGCGGGCCAAACCGGGTGACACCATCACAGGGGGTGCAGGAGCAGGATGCCAGCAGAGCTTCTGGGCTCTGTGAAGGTCCTGGCCAGTTATTGGGGTGATCCCGGATTCCCGGCACAGTGACAGCTGCCCCCGGTGTAGCGGTAAAATGAGTATCCCGTGAAGATATGTATCCCCTGAAGCAACTACGCAAGTGCTGGTTTCAGGCCAAAGAAGCCGATCTCCGACTTTAGCACAGAGCTGCCACAGTTAACCCTTTACAGGCTGCAAACCGCTGAAGCTGATCCCGTGGATCGCTATGGGTTGCAAGAGCAGTTAACCCCATATAGGTTCATACCTTTTAATCTACTGCAAGCCTGCAGTTCCGTCCCCAACCGCCTAGGCAACCTGAGGGCCGCAGGACTACAAGTTCCATCATGCCTCTGCAAGTCATAGCTGTAACTGTCGGTTTTGTAATCTTTGCAATGCCTCATGGGAAATGTAGTTTCACAACAGCTAGAGCGCTAGTTTGCCTACCCCTGGCCTAGGTGATGACGTCATAAGGCGATTTGCAAGGTCTCCTGGGATGTTGTTTCCTGTATCCCAGGAGTCTTTTGGTTTCCTGTAATCGCGGGATTGGGAAAATGGAAATGACGCAAATGGGAGGTGTTTTGCGCCATTTTAGCGGAGTCCATGATTATATACATACGTACACACTATATATATATCGTGTGTGTGTATACATTAATATATATTTTAGGTGGCAGGGATTGCTCCCTTTTGAGACTTTCCTTTTCCTTCCCTTCCTTGCAGTAAAGTGCTGTACAGGTTGCCTGCTGGGGGCCAGGAGCGGGAACTTCATCCTTCCCCACCATTGTTATGGCAACCTGCACTGCACACGTCGCGCCAAGCAGTGTCTGTACTGCGCATGCGCGAGAACGAGTGGGTGCATGCTGGGATAGCCAGCAGCACCGATTCCCAGAAATAAATACCTGCGGGCTTCAGATGCCCACAGCCATCATGGCGCCTGCCTGTTTCCAAGATCATGGTAAAGGTTGAAGAATTACTAAATAATTACAATTCTTTTAGTATTGTATCATTCCAATTGTTAATGCTATTTCAAAGGTCATCATGGATCTGCTTTTAACAAAAATTTATTAGGGGGACTGGAGCTCCGCTTTAAGCACATCTTTCTGCCTGCATGTCTGAGCTAAAGGCAGAAGGATTCCAGGAAGTAAATACTACATGATTCATCTGCCCTTACTCAAGATGGCCACGGAAATGCTGGGAGGTGTTTCTATGTGATTTCTCTGCAAAATAAAGTATGGAGACATGGATGGGGGAGCTTGCTTTGAATATGAAAAATAAATTAAATATTGCTTTTGGCTTGTGGTTCTCATATACAGTGTAGTTCTGCTTTATGTTTTTCCACAAAGCGCGGCCTCACGGCCGCGACGTGTACAGCTGTATGTTATTGTTCAGGCTGGTGGTGGAGGAAAGTCACCGCACAGCTCATGTGTACGCTTCGCCGCTGCAAACACCCCACACCTGATTGTTATTTCTCAGGGAAAATTTTGGGAAGTTAATTTAATAATTGTACTTTTGCTTTCTCTGCAGGATTTTGGAGATGGAGGGGCGTTCCCGGAGATCCATGTGGCGCAGTACCCCCTGGACATGGGCAGAAAGAAGCGGATGTCCAATGCCCTGGCTGTACAAGTGGATGCAGAGGGGAAAATCAAATATGATGCCATTGCACGGCAGGGGCAGTCAAAAGAAAAAGTAAGGGTCTGCGGAATGTTGGGGTGGGGGGGGGGTGTGATTCCAAATCAAAGTCTCTGGCAGTTGTTGGTCATTATTGCTGCCTGTTTATTCCTCTGCTCGTTCAGCCGGCTTTCAGTATAGGCTGCCTGTTACAGAGCTTGTCCACTGTCGTGTTATAGCTTGTGAAATGTGAAAATCCAATACATTCCTTTAGCTAGGGTCTGTGGAATCTGAATAATCTTTTTTTTGTCTGTAGGTTATATACAGTAAATACACAGACCTGGTACCTAAGGAAGTGATGGATGAAGATGACTCAGAGCTGCAGAGACCCGACGAAGAGGCAGTCCGAGAGGTAACAATTTTTGGTTGGACTTGTAGCTGTATTGTTTATGGGTGCACTGCACCCCCAGAACTTTATCTGAGCTGTCTCCAACAGCTCAGAGTCAGCTACCAATGATCAGGTGCTGGTATGGCAGGCTCCCAAAGCTATCAGTGACAGTGCCGCATGATCTCAAATCCGTCCTAGTGACCTTGGGCATCAGGGCTCACGTAGCCTCCCTGACAGTATTCCCGAGTGTAGCTCGGGGTAAAGTTTCAGTACCACAAGCGGTAACCCCGAGCTACACTCGGGCTTACCATGCGGCGCTGCTCCGCGGTCCCTTGATCACTTACCTTGTCCTGCGCTCCCGCGATGTCCCTCCTGCAGTGTCCCCGGCAATGTAATCTGGTGGATGCCGGCATCTGTCATTTGGGGGACGGAACTGGCGGGAAATTTGAAAATGACAAAAAGTGACATTCACTAAATTTACTAAAATCACATAGTATAACATTCCTGTATCAAACCATTTCACATACATTTTGTCCCGAGTGCTTTGTCCGGCGCCCTGCCTGCATTTTTACTGTTCTTTCTGCCTGGAAACTGAGAAACGTCCATGGCGTCCAAAAAGCGTCCCTTTAGGTCAAAAGCGGTTTTAGACCGGCTAGAGAACAGCGATAGTAAATTAGAACCACTTGCAGAATTGAGTGATAATGATTCGTGGGGGAAATTCCTCATCAGACACTGAAAACGATTCTGCGACTTTGCTCAGCGATGTGCGAACTTGGCGCTATATTTCACATTTCAGTGTTTTTGGTTTGATTGTATTATTGAATTAAATGTATTATTATTATATTATTTTTTATGATTATTTATTAAATTATAATTTATGATTTCGTGTTTCAAGTTTTATCATACCCGGGATGTTTACTAGACTCTTGTTCGGACAGATTTCAGTGAGTTATTCCTAAAAATTACAGGCCTACAATAAAAAAAATACACATTTCCATGCAAAAAAATATACTGCTTTGAGCACAGAAATATGGACATAATCAGACTGCTAGGGAGGTTAAAGGGTCGGTGGTGTCGGTTATGGGCTAAGAGTCTACCAATACCCTTGTTTTTCCAGCTGACAGAGAAGACCCGCCAAGCCCTGGATAAAGCTGTGTCCCAAAAGATAGCCTCAGCCATGCCAGTCCGAGCAGCAGACAAGCTGGCACCTGCACAGTACATCAGGTGAGGTGCTGAGAATTGGGAGGGCAAATTATAACAGGAGGGCCCACGTTACATGGGGTAGGGTGAGCTGTGCTATGAGGGTACTTATTACATGGGTCAGAGTGGGCTGTGCCGGGGGGGATCCTCATTACATGGGACAAAGTGGGCTGCGCTGGGGGGGCTCCTCATTACATGGGACAGAGTGGGCTGTGCCGGGGGGGGGGGGGGGGGATTCCTCATTACATGGGGTAGGGTGAGCTGTGCTATGAGGGTACTTATTACATGGGTCAGAGTGGGCTGTGCCGGAGGGGATCCTTATTACATGGGACAGAGTGGGCTGTGCTGGGGGGGGGGGATCCTCATTACATGGGACAGAGTGGGCTGTGCTGGGGGGGGGGGATCCTCATTACATGGGACAGAGTGGGCTGTGCTGGGGGGGGGGGGGGGATCCTCATTACATGGGTCAGAGTGGGCTGTGCCGGGGGGATCCTCATTACATGGGACAGAGTGGGCTGTGCTGGGGGGGGGGGGGTGATTTCCTCATTACATGGGACAGAGTGGGCTGTGCTGGGGGGGGGGGGGGGGGTGATTTCCTCACCACATGGGACAGAGTGGGCTGATCCTCATTACATGGGACAAAATGGGCTGTGCCGGGGGGAGGGATCCTCATTACATGGGGTAGGGTGAGCTGTGCTATGAGGGTACTTATTACATGAGACAGAGTGGGCTGTGCCGGGGGGGAGGGATCCTCATTACATGGGACAGAGTGGGCTGTGCCGGGGGGGAGGGATCCTCATTACATGGGACAGAGTGGGCTGTGCCGGGGGGGAGGGATCCTCATTACATGGGACAGAGTGGGCTGTGCTGGGGGGGAGGGATCCTCATTACATGGGACAGAGTGGGCTGTGCCGGGGGGGAGGGATCCTCATTACATGGGACAGAGTGGGCTGTGCCGGGGGGGAGGGATCCTCATTACATGGGACAGAGTGGGCTGTGCTGGGGGGGAGGGATCCTCATTACATGGGACAGAGTGGGCTGTGCCGGGGGGGAGGGATCCTCATTACATGGGACAGAGTGGGCTGTGCCGGGGGGAGGGATCCTCATTACATGGGACAGAGTGGGCTGTGCCGGGGGGAGGGATCCTCATTACATGGGACAGAGTGGGGCTGTGCCGGGGGGAGGGATCCTCATTACATGGGATAAAATGGACTTTGCCAGGGGCGATCCTCATTACATGGGGGAGAATAGATTGTGCTGGGGGGGGTTATTGTTACGTGAGAGAGGGTGGACTGTGCTAGGAGGGTCCTCGTTATAAGGGAGAGGGTGGGCTGTGCTTGGGGGGTCCTTATTACATGGGAGAGGGTGGGCTGTGCTTGGGGGGTCCTTATTACATGGGAGAGGGTGGGTTTGGCCTGGAGAGTCTTCATTGCATAGAGGAGGGTGGCCCAAAAGCAGAATTAAACTCTGCTATATAGATAGATCGATATATATATATTTATATTATTTTTTTAGGGCCCTTAGGAGGCTTATGCAAAAATGTTCTAGTATGCACAGCATATTAGCATGTTATGGCAGACTTACCTGTCAGATGAAGCCCTGCAGTGCTGAGGTGTCAGCACTGCGTCTGGTCCCAGGAGCTTCCATTTTCTCCCAGTCTTCCTTCCGGATTCGCTCTGTTCTGTCGCTTGAATGGCCGAGCTGCGATGACATCGCTTCCGAGCATGTTCACAGGAATAATTTGATCACAGAGAGTGCCATAAATGTACTCTGAGCTGCACATGCGAGGCCCAGTGTATGTTGTTGCAGACAGGCAGGGAGAGGCATTCATGACAGAAGAGACCACCAGGGTTTATCTGTCCAGTAGTTTAAAAAAAAATGTAATGTAATTCCGCTTTAATTGGAGGGTTCTTAATTACAATGGGGAGGACAGACTGTGCCATGAGTGCCCCATTACAGAGGACAAACCATGCTGATAGGGCCCTTACTACAAAGTTCTCTTATTTCCAGGAAGCCCCTTAATACAAAGGAAAATGTTTACATTGGGGAGGATGGAATGTGCCCGGGAGACCCTCATTACATTGAGGAGGGTGAACTGTCAAAGACCCTCATTACATTTCCCTGTCTCTTCCCAGGTACACACCATCCCAGCAAGGTGTGGCATTTAATTCAGGCGCCAAGCAGAGGGTCATTCGTATGGTGGAGATGCAGAAAGACCCTATGGAGCCACCACGTTTCAAGTGAGTGCTGACCGATATAATCACTGGTCTGTGTATTTTCTTACATTTTTTCCTCTTTGATGTTGTATTTATAAACAATGTAAAGGCACTGCAATTTATTTATATATTTCAGGTACTTATATAGCACCATCAATTTACGTAGCGCTTTACACACACACACACGCATATATATATATATATATATATATATATATATATATATATATATATATATATTGTACATTCACATTCACATCAGTCCCTAACCCTCAAGGGGCGTACAATGGTTTCATCCTGTGCACCAACATACGCAAATTTGTTCTTGGGTTGATGGGAGCGCACCAGAGTGTTTTCTGAACAATTTGAACACCATGTGTATGTTACTCTAGGTGCGCTACATTGACGATATTTTTTATTCTATGGCAAGGTTTAAAACAGAAATTTGAAAATTTTGGAACGGAGTTAAATAGGAATGACATGTATTTCACAGGTGAGATCAATTGTGGCTGTATCAGTTTTCTAGATCTCAAAATCATGAGAGATGAGAAGGGTACTATTGGGTCAACAATTTACCATATACCCACGTATACTAACAGTCTACTCCACTGGGATAGCCAGCTTCCGATATCATTCAAAAAAAAAGTATTCCTACGGGACTATTTATGAGAGGAAAAAAAAAAATCACTCCACAGAAAAAGCTTTTCAAGATGAAAGCTCTCAGTTGGTGAAGAGATTTAGTAGACGTGGCGATCATATCCATGATTTGATGAAATCGTTAAATAAAGTGAATACAGTCCCCCAAGAGAAACCCTACTCACTCAGAAACGGCCAGTCTCAGATGACAATGCGGGAATGAGAATTATTGGCACCTACTCTAATAAATCTGGTCAGATCTTTAAAATCATCAAAACGTATTGGGATGTGCTGCATAATGACAAAGCTCTTTCTAAGATTCTCCCAAAGAATCCTATGATCACTCGTAGGCAATGGAGGAACCTTAGAGAGATGCTAGTACAGAGGCCCATTAACAACTTCCCATCCGGCCCATGTACATAAACGGCCGGACGGGAGCAGTGCAGGAGCCGGTGGCCCTTTATAAACGTTTGGCCAATCGGTGATCACATGAATAGTAGTAAGCAAGATGTCACTTCCTGACGTCATTGCTTACTGATTGTGAAATCTGTGAATGATCACAGAGATCACATGGTACAGGGCTATTCACAACAGCCTTGTACCATGTGCCAAGCTGTGACCAATCAGCTCACATCGTATTTTCTCAATGGCTGCAAGAATGCAGCCAGAGAGAAGGAGAAATTGTTTTTACAGCCTTTATGGGTTTAAAAGCAATCCGTGTAAAAAAAGAAAAGAAAAATCTTCATCACCCCCACAAGTAGTACAGTGTCACTATGGTGACACTGTTACTGCTAGGGTGACAGTATGTTAAAAACAAAACCTATAAATAATAATATAAAAATGTAAAACAATTTCGCCTGAACTCATGTTCACCCCCCATGGACTAAATGAAGGCTTCACTTTTATCTGTGATTGAGAATCCCAGAAAAAAATTGTATATTTACTTCTTTGTAAATGGCCATTTTCTGAAGTTTAGATAGAATATTTGTGAACGTTAAACAGATGTAATTGGGTCTAATGACTCATGGTATATTATGATCCAATCAAGTAAGGCGTTAATACAGTGGTTAGTTACATGCAGTTTAGGCTATTATGTCGGTCTTTCCATGATCTGCCCACGTGATGATGATCCATAGCTGGTATAGAGTGGTGTTGAATGTACGGCAATGATGTCATGGCGCACGTGATGACGTCACGACTTTGTGTTAGCGGAGGTCATTTTGACTGACCAATCTAGAAATAGGAGATGAACAAACAATTGGAGGCCGTTTCCATTAGCCACGTGACTTCACCTGTTCTTTACTCATCCTTTTTATTTACTTTATTCACCTCTATGGAAGCTCCATCCAAGGAGTGAAACCGGTTACTTTTGATTTGGGAGCACTTTCTTTTCTTTTTGGATCACATGGAATTTATTTGCTTTATCTTGATTTCCCCCTTTTTTTGCTTTTTTTGATAGAAGAATACCTCTAATATATGTGATCGTTTCAAGAGAGGTATTCTTGTGGATATGTGGAATACAGGGGCTGTCCATTAGTGGTGTTTTATATCCACATGGATGGGTGCACCCGCATTATATATAATAGACAGATTAACCCTTGATAATCTCAGTGAGATGGTGTATAGCTGAAGTTAGAGATAATCGTAAACCTATACATACCTCGTGACAGATACCACACTTCAAGATATAAGATATGTCCACATAGATATGGATTGCTCTCTAGGTATGAAAAATTGATACAACGGTCCTTTTCCTCACTCTATAGCAGTGGTTCTCAACCTCCCTAATGCCGTGACCCTTTAATACAGTTCCTCATGTTGTGGTGACCCCCAACCATAAAATTATTTGCCCAATACTGCTGCTTTCAACAGAGTAGCTGCTTTTAACAGAGTAGCTGCTCTTTACACATCAGAAATATGTGCTTTCTGATGGTCTTAGGGGACCCCTGTGAAAGGGTCATTCGACCCCCAAAGGGGTTGCGACCCCCAGGTTGAGAACCACTGCTCTATAGGTATATACATGTATTAGATTTGATTTTCTGAGATTTTTAATTATATAGTAAAAGGTAGATTTTAGTCAGGTGGCCTCAAGGTGTGGAGGGACACGCACCCCCCGTTCTGTACAATTTATAATTGCCACATAGGATTAAATTCTTGGTAGATTTAAGGCATAGTTTATTGATCTGTGTACTTGTAGTATGATGGTGATGCACAGACTAGTCTGGGTATTTGTATAATGATGGGAAGCAGAATGGAAATTCATCAGTTCATAATCTTTCTCCTCCAGAATAAACAAGAAGATCCCTCGTGGCCCCCCATCTCCTCCTGCTCCTGTGATGCACTCCCCCAGCAGGAAGGTAAGTACACCTGTCTGCTCCTTAGTTGGAGGAGATAGGAGAAATATATATATATATACACACACATATACTGAAGGAAATAAGTATTTGATCCCCTACTGATTTTGAATGTTTGCCCACTCGCAAAGAAATGATCAGTCTAAAAATCGAATTATTATTATTATACAGTATTTATATAGCGCCAAAGGGTATGCTCAGCGCTGTACAGTAGCAAGGGAACATAACATGAGAGAAGACAGTAACAATACACTACACGAGGAGTTCGAGGGCCCTGCTCTTTAGAGCTTACAATCTAGGAGGGAGGGGAAGGTTGTACAGGAGGAGATGGCTGTGGGGGACAGTACATGACAATACAATACACGAGGGGTTTGAGAGCCCTGCTCCTTGGAGCTTACAATCTAGGAATGTTCGGTGTATTGTAACACTGAGAGACAGAATAGCAACAAAAAATTCAAAAGAAATGCATGTCTAACAAATCATGACTGATTTGCATGTTCATGAGGGAAATAAGAATTTGATCCCCTATCATTCAGCAGGATTTCTGGCTACCAGGTGTCTTTCATACAGGTAACAAGCTGGGATTAGAAGCAGTCTCTTAAAGGGAGTGCTGCTAATCTCATTTTGTTACCTTTATAAAAGACACCTGTCCACAGGAGCAATCAATCAGATTCCAAACTCTCCACCATGGCAAAGGCCAAAGAGCTGTCCAAGGATGTCAGGGACAAGATTGTAGACCTACAAGGCTGGACTGGGCTACCAAACTATGGCCAAGCAGCTTGGTGAGAAGGTGACAACAGTTGTTGCAATCATTCACAAATGGAAGAAACAAAACAACTGTCAGTCTCCCCAGGTCTGGTGCACCATGCAAGATCTCACCTCGTGGAGTGTCAATGATCATGAGAACAGTACGGAATCATCCCAGAACTACACGTGAGGATCTTGTCAATGACCTCCAGGCATCTGGGACCACAGTCACCAAGAAAACAATTGGTAACACACTACGCCGACAAGGATTGAAATCCTGCAGTGTCTGCAAGGTCCCTCTGCTCAAGAAAGCACATGTCCAGGCCCGTCTGAAGTTTGCCACTGAACATCTGAATGATGCAGAGGAGGACTGGTTGAAAGTTTTGTGGTCAGATGAGACCAAAATCGAGCTCTTTGGCATCAACTCAACTCGCTGTGTTTGGAGGAGGAGGAATGCTGCCTATGACCCCAAGAACACCATCCCAACTGTGAAACATGGTGGTGAAAACATTCTGCTTTGGGGGTGTTTTTCTGCTAAGGGGACAGGACAACTGCACCGCATCAAAGGGACGATAGACGGGGCAATGTACCATCAAATCTTGGGTGAGAACCTTCTTCCCTCAGCCTGGGCATTGAAGATGGGTGTTCCAGCATGACAATGACCCAAAACACATGGCCAAGGCAACAAAGGAGTGGCTCAAGAAGAAGCACATTAAGGTCCTGGAGTGGCCTAGCCAGTCTCCAGACCTTAATCCGATTGAAAATCTGTGGACGGAGCTGAAAGTTCGAGTTGCCAAACGTCAGCCACCAAACCTTAAAGACTTGGAGAGGATCTGCCAAGAGGAGTGGGTCAAAATCCCTCCTGAGATGTGTGCAAACCTGGTGGCCAACTCCAGGAAACGGCTGACCTCTGTGATTGCCAACAAGGGATTTGCCACCAAGTACTAAGTCATGTTTTGTGAAGGGGATCAAATCCTTATTTCCCTCATGAACATGCAGATCATTTGTTAGACATGCATTTCTGCTGAATTTGTTGTTGCTATTCTGTCTCAGTGTTACAATACACCGAACATTAGATTTTTAGACCGATCATTTCTTTGTGAGTGGGCAAACATTCAAAATCAGCAGGGGAGCAAATACTTATTTCCTTCACTATATATATATATAGAGAGAGAGAGAATAAATGAATATGTGTGTGTGTGTGTGTGTATATATGTATATATATATATATATATATATATATATATATATATATATATATATTTATTATATAGAGAGAGATCGCTCCCCTGTCTGCTCCCTGGTTGGAGTATATATATCTAGTGCAGTGAGGTGGCACTCTGCAGATACTTCCAGTCTGCCCTTTAACACTTGATGAAGATGCCGTAACGCCATCTGCAATGTTTAATAAAATTTCCTGTCTGATGTCCTTTTTAGATGACCGTCAAGGAGCAGCAAGAATGGAGAATCCCTCCGTGCATTTCTAACTGGAAAAACGCCAAGGTAATCTGGGCTGATGCGTCACTCATTTGGCCACCCACACCTAGGTCACCCTTGCTACACATCAGCAGCATATAATATGGCCAGTGCCCTTAACACAGAGTGTTGGAATACTTTGGGAATGTTGGGCCCAAATGGAGCAGAAAATCATTGTGGGGGGCCCCTGAAATATACTGAAAGCATGCTAACATGATTCTAGTATAGCACAGCTGTACACTATGTACTATGGTGTTGCTCATGTGGGGTCCAGGAACCCTCTGAGACATTCAGTTCCAGAATGATGCAAGGAAGGGCAGGAAGTCCGGGGCCTCAGTCATCAATCAGAAAATTATACCTCAGGTATTGAAAAAATTAGTTGTCATACCAAGTGTTGCTAAACTCACAGCAGTACAATCAGTCTGTGTATGCAGTAAAGCAGGCTTGTTATACTCACTGTGGAACCAAAGGGGCTAATTCACCACATTGTGTTTGATCCTGTCTTCTGTGATCCTCCCCTCCTTCTGCTGTCCCCAATCTATCTGCTGATAGTACAGAGCTCTAGGAGTCACTCTGCAAATGCTCAGTTTGGTGTGTATTGCAAGAGAGTTTTTTGTTTGTTTGTTTTTTCCTTTGGGAGGGTGTATGTGATCAGCACAGGGAAGACAGAGGGTCAGGGGTTATGCAGCCTCATAGGAAAGTCAGAGGAGAATGAAAACTCCTCCTACCAGTGCTGGGCCAGACACTTTATAGAGGGCACAAGACTGCTATATACTGATGATGAGAAAAGGTATTTAGCAGTTTATATTTACTAAAATAATTGCATTTTCTTGTTCTGTGGGAGACCAGATATAGTAAATGCGGGGTCTGGGGAGTGCGGATATATTGAATGCAGGGTCCGGGGAGACCGGATATAGTGAATGCGGGGTCCGGGGAGACCGGATATAGTGAATGCGGGGTCCGGGGAGACCGGATATAGTGAATGCGGGGTCCGGGGAGACCGGATATAGTGAATGCGGGGTCCGGGGAGACCGGATATAGTGAATGCGGGGTCCGGGGAGACCGGATATAGTGAATGCGGGGTCCGGGGAGACCGGATATAGTGAATGCGGGGTCCGGGGAGACCGGATATAGTGAATGCGGGGTCCGGGGAGACCGGATATAGTGAATGCGGGGTCCGGGGAGACCGGATATAGCGAATGCGGGGTCCGGGGAGACCGGATATAGCGAATGCGGGGTCCGGGGAGACGGGATATAGCGAATGCGGGGTCCGGGGAGACGGGATATAGCGAATGCGGGGTCCGGGGAGACTGGATATAGCGAATGCGGGGTCCGGGGAGAGCGGATATAGCAAATGCGGGGTCCTGGGTTTAGTAACACTTTGTCTTCCAATGAAACACTGATATAGTAAACGTTTTCTTTTGTAAATATGGATTCAGAGGGGTTTCCTCCATGGATTATACCTCTTTTATGGATATTGCACATTAGTACCTTGGTTCAGTCTTATTTTTACTATCTAGTATTGGTTCAGCATCCTTATTGCATATAATTTGCCCCCCCCCCCCGCATTAGCTCAGTGTCCCCAATATTTATCATTTTTCTTCCCCAGCAGTCAAAAATCTGATAGACCCGATCTGAGTAATTAGGGGATGGTGGCTCCTGGCAATGCCTAATAAATCTTCTCTGGCCTCTTTTCCTTTCTCCTCCAGGGTTACACCATCCCACTGGACAAGCGTTTGGCTGCCGATGGCAGGGGCCTCCAGACTGTCCACATTAATGAGAACTTTGCTAAACTGGCTGAAGCTTTATATATCGCTGACAGAAAGGTGAGCATTTGTCTGGATGGTTGTACATTTCTGACGGGAAGGGGAGCCCGTGTCTGAGGATGTGTATGATGCTGCCACGAAGGGAAGCCCGTGTCTGAGGATGTGTATGATGCTGCCACGAAGGGGAGCCCGTGTCTGAGGATGCATATGGTGCTGCCACGAAGGGGAGCCCGTGTCTGAGGATGCGTATGGTGCTGCCACGAAGGGGAGCCCGTGTCTGAGGATGCGTATGGTGCTGCCACGAAGGGGAGCCCGTGTCTGAGGATGCGTATGGTGCTGCCACGAAGGGGAGCCCGTGTCTGAGGATGCGTATGGTGCTGCCACGAAGGGGAGCCCGTGTCTGAGGATGCGTATGGTGCTGCCACGAAGGGGAGCCCGTGTCTGAGGATGCGTATGGTGCTGCCACGAAGGGGAGCCCGTGTCTGAGGATGCGTATGGTGCTGCCACGAAGGGGAGCCCGTGTCTGAGGATGCGTATGGTGCTGCCACGAAGGGGAGCCCGTGTCTGAGGATGCGTATGGTGCTGCCACGAAGGGGAGCCCGTGTCTGAGGATGCGTATGGTGCTGCCACGAAGGGGAGCCCGTGTCTGAGGATGCGTATGGTGCTGCCACGAAGGGGAGCCCGTGTCTGAGGATGCGTATGGTGCTGCCACGAAGGGGAGCCCGTGTCTGAGGATGCGTATGGTGCTGTCACGAAGGGGAGCCCGTGTCTGAGGATGCGTATGGTGCTGTCACGAAGGGGAGCCCGTGTCTGAGGATGCGTATGATGCTGCCACAAAGGGGAGCCCGTGTCTGAGGATGTGTTTGATGCTGCCATGAAGGGGAGCATGCCTTCGAGGATGTGTGCATCACTGATGAGAAGGCAATTGTGCTTCTGAGAATATATGTGATGTGGAAAGTGGGATCCTATATCTGAAGAAGGGTATCATTGATGGTAAAGGGCGTATCTGAGGATATGTGTACATGGCTGATACAAAGGCGAGTGCTTGCCTGGGGATATGTAGAATGCTGACGTAAAGATGAATGTGTCAGAAGATGTTTACATCACTCACGTGAAAGGGGTGGTGTCGGAGGGTGCGTACACCGCTGACAGGTTGAGGGAGCATGTGTTTGCTGATGTGGGTTGACGGTAGCAGTGTTCCACCCCATTGACACCTGACTGCCTTGGCAGGCTAGGGAAGCCGTGGAGATGAGAGCCCAAGTGGAAAGGAAGATGGCACAGAAGGAGAAGGAGAAAAAGGAGGAGAAGTTGAGAGAACTGGCTCAGATTGCCAGAGAACGCCGAGCTGGAATAAAGTCCCATGCAGAGAAAGGTGAGATCTCAGTGTACAGGTGTATTGGGGGGGGTTCTGATGATATCCCAGTACATGTACATTGATGGTTGACGTGTCTCCTGCAGAGGATGGAGAAGCCAGAGAGAGGGATGAAATCAGAGATACCAGGCGAAAGGAGCGACAGCATGAGCGCAACCTGTCCAGGGCAGCCCCTGACAAGAGGTAAAACGGAATCTTCGGGGTTGTAATTGAACATCTAGGGGAAGGTTATGGGTGGTCAGTTCACCAAAATAAGACCACACATTAAAGCAGAACTCCACCCAAAAGGGGACGTTACACTTGTTGGCATTGTTCCCCCCCATCACTTTTTGGGGGAGGAGTGGATGCCTAGTTTTGACAGTTACCTGCTCCCACTTCCGAATGAGTTTGCTGCGGTGATCTCCGGCCCCTTCTCCTTCCCCGAAAGGACCTATCACAAAGCACAGAGCCGAAGTGCAGGAAATCGGCTGTAAAGCTTCACTGCCAGTTTCCCTTAGTTAGGATGCCGGCACCTGAAGCAAATTAACCTCCCTGATGGTATTCCCGAGTGTAGCTCGGGGTAAAGTTTCAGTACCACAAGCAGTAACTCCGAGCTACACTCCGGAATACCATGCAGCGCTGCTCCGGGATCCCTCGATCACTTACCTTGTCCTGCGCTCCCGCGATGTCCCTCCTGCAGTGTCCCCGGCAATGTAATCCGGCTGATGCCGGCATCTGTCTTCTGGGTTCCGTTCCCTGCGACGTCGGGACGTACGGGGGACGGAACTGGCGGGAAATTTGAAAATGACAAAAAGTGACATTCACTAAATACACTAAAATCACATAGTAACACATTCCTGTATCAAACCATTTCACATACATTTTGTCCCGAGTGCTTTGTCCGGCGCCCTGCCTGCATTTTTACTGTTCTTTCTGCCTGGAAACTGAGAAACGTCCATGGCGTCCAAAAAGCGTCCCTTTAGGTCAAAAGCGGTTTTAGACCGGCTAGAGAACAGCGATAGTAAATCAGAACCACTTGCAGAATTGAGTGATAATGATTCGTGGGGAAATTCGTCATCAGACACTGAAAACGATTTTGCGACTTTGCTCAGTGATGTGTGAACTTGGCGCTCTATTTCAAATTTCAGTGTTTTTGGTTTGATTATATTATTGAATTAAATGTATTATATTATTTTTTATGATTATTTATTAAATTATAATTTATGATTTCGTGTTTCAAGTTCTATCCTACCCGGGATGTTTATTGGACTCTTGTTCGGACAGATTTCAGTGAGTTATTCCTAAGAATTACAGGCCTACAATATAAAACGCCAAATTTTCATGCAAAATAATGGTACCGCAATCGGCACCAAAAAATCTGAAGTAATCATACTGCCAGGGAGGTTAAGGAAATCGGCTTGGGTGTGGTCATTGCTGGACACTTGGACATGTAAGTGTCCAAGCAGCTATAGTATTTGTAGCTGCTGACTTTTATTAATTTGTTTTTTTTTTGAGACTGAAACTACATTTAAATGGAGGAAGAGGGGAAATGGCCAACCCCCACGGATAATAATAAAGGCGAAGTATGAACACAGACTGCTGTAAGATAATGTACATGAAATGTTGTCTCCCAGGTCCAAGCTGCAGAGGAATGAGGAGAGAGACATCAGTGAACAGATTGCTCTTGGAGTACCCAGCCAGCGACCATCAGCAGAGGTCCAGTACGACCAGCGACTCTTCAACCAAAGCAGGGTAAGTCCAGATCCTGCTACCACTCTGTTACTGCACCTCTGGGCATACAGACATGTAAAGCCAGGTTCAGTGTTCACCCCATTTTGGAAATGGCATGAGGAGCACAAAAGAATATTTAGAAGTCATTTTTTGCCTCCCACCAGATTCCACTTAAAATGGCCCTTCAGAGGGTGCACTGCAGGAAGCACCAAAATCTTTAGTGGACAGTGAACTTGGAGGCATCTGGTACAGCAGAACTCCAATCTGACATGTTTTATCACAAGACCGGTAACTCTGGGTATAGGGCCAGGTCTTGAATGCCAACGAACCAGCTGCCGGTAGCAGGAGAAGCTTCATACCCCTATAGGTGACCAGGATACTCTTGGCAGACAGCCACAAGCCAAGGATAATCCACGTCACTTGCAGTCAGGAGCAGTAGCAGGAAGGTGCTTCATCAATGCTGAACAGCAGGAAAGAGCAGTGTGCACACAACCTTCCACCCGATGCATAACATCCGTGCTCAATCCATTACCATTAGTGAAACCTATGGAAGTGGGAATTTAACTGTGCCCATCAGTCCTAGTAACTGGGCCACGCCTACTCCCAAAGGACACAGCCATGGCTTTGGACCTGGAGAGTGCTCTGTGGCTAAAACTACACTCAGGTTTGGGAACTCCACAAAGCAGAGCCCAGTGCTTGAATGTCATATTCCAGGTTAGCCTGACGTGCCCAGTCCAGTAGTGTCCGGTACGGCCTCCAAAGCTCCAAGCAGAGAAATCGCAAATATCTGTGCATGGAGACCAGCCCAGCAGTGTGCAGTGGAGACTTCAAGTCCGGACACTTTCCCCCCCTTCCTGTCCAGGCCAATTTTCAGCTTTCAGTGCTATCACACTTTGAATGACAATTGCACGGTCATGCAACACTGTACCAATATGAATTTTTTAGCATTTTCTTGGAGACGGATAAAGCTTTATTTTGGTGGTGTTTATTCACCACTGGGATTTTTTTTTTGCTATGTAATTGAAAAAGTCCAAAAATTTTGAAAAGTGTTTTTCTTTTAAAATTTTGCAAATAAATATTTCATCATAAATCTTGGCCAAAATTTATTCTGTTATCTTTTTAGTAAAAAAAAAATAACCCGAATTAGTTTATAACCAAAAATTATAATTTAAAAAACTTTTTTTACATTTTTTTTTTTTACATACTGTCACCCTAGCAGTACAGTGTCACCATGGTGACACTGTACTATTTGTGGGGGGTGATGAAGATTTTTTTTTTTTTTACACTGATTGCTTTTACACCCATAAAGGCTGTAAAAGCAATCATTTCTCCTTCTCTCTGGCTCCATTCTTGCAGCCATTGAGAACTACTGTGTGAGCTGTGATTGGTCACAACTTGTCACATGGTACAAGGCTGTTGTGAATATCCTTGTACCCTGTGACCTCTGTGATCATTCACAGAGTAAGCAATGATGTTAGAAGTGACATCTTGCTTACTACTATTCATGTGTTCACTGATTGGCCAATCAGTGATGACATGATTGGGACCTCACACAGAGGTCCCATACCACGATCAGTGTTCCACTGTGTCCGGAGGTACTGTGTGCTCCCAGGGAGCGCGCACAAGCAGGGGGCTGGGAGGCCGTTTATAAACAGCCACCCGCCCCTGCACTGCCGCCGGACGGGAGGTGGTTAAAAAAAAAAAAATCATCTTAATTGAAGAAAAAAAATTAAAGCAAGACATTTTTAGACTTTTCTCAGAGTAGAAAAAAAGATGTTCATCCTGAATACAAGAGAGACTAATGCATGCTGGGAGCAGGAGGGGTTATATAGGGTCGGTCGGTCATAGTTTTTTGTTTTTTTTTTTTTTCCCCCTGACAGTCTCTAGTTCAGGGGTAGGCAGCCTTAGAGAGGCGAATATTTACCTGAACAGCTTGAGAGAGGTTAAACATCGCCGGGGCACAGTGTCACCCAATTTCGCATCCTCACACCTGATTTAAACATATATTGTTGTACCAATGTGCCACAATCGCATGCATTGCACAGCAATTACAGGTTTAACTCGGGTAGATATCACCTCCTCACCACCTGTTAAAACGTGCTCGGGTCGCTTTTCAGAGGAGCAGCATTGTCTGCCGCACTTATGAATGAGCCCTTAGTTGCATTTGGTAGCTGCATCATTAGAGCTTGTTCACATTTGGGGTTGGTAAAACCCTGTGGTTGAGCTGTGGTTTTCCTGAATCCAATCCTTGCCCCCCCCCCTCCCCCCCGCCAAGCGTGACAGGGTGTATAATTTTCTGCTGCCGCAAGTGTCCACCCCTGGCCACCATAGCTAAAGGTGGTGCGGTTTGAGGGGTTTTAAAATCACCCCCCAAAAGTCATTGCTGTTGTCCAGGAACAGGGACCACCCAGAGCTCTGCCTCCTAACCATTGGTCTTGATTTGCAGGGTATGGACAGTGGCTTTGCGGGTGGGGAGGACGAGGTGTACAATGTATATGATCAGCCGTGGAGAAGTAGCAAGGAAATGGCACAAACCATCTACCGGCCTAAGAACCAAGAAGTGGATTTCGGCCCGGATGTGGACACGCTGATGAAAACCAACAGGTGAGGACAATGAGTTGGCACAAAGGTCACTGACCAAATGGTTCCTCCTAATTTTTCCTGACAATCATTCTCCTCCTCCTCAGATTTGTTCCTGATAAAGAGTTCACCGGCTCAGACCGCAAGCAGCGCCGCGATGGGCCTGTGCAGTTCGAGGAGGATCCTTTCGGTTTGGACAAGTTCTTGGAGGAGGCCAAACAGCACGGAGGATCCAAACGCCCCTCAGACAGTGGCCGTGCCAAAGAGCACGACCACGAGGGCAAAAAGCGCAGAAAGGAGTGAGGGGTGACCCATCCATTCATGGGACTCTTTTGTGGGGCATCAGGATCCAAGGGCTTCCTTTTGGCAACCCCACTATGGTCACCGGGTTAAAAATCAGTTATGTTTCAAAGTGCAGACCAAACGTCTTTGACAACGTTGTGTAAGAAGTCACTGAAGTCTGCATCAAGTACAACATTCTGTTTGTAGCGTGGGAAGCTTCAGTCCGTTCCGATCACATATGAAATGTCAGGATCAAATATTCTGGATGGTTCTCGCACTCCAGAGATATAATCTTCCTCTGCTGTAAGACACAATGTCAGTTTCTGGGATTTTATGTTGAGTATCTGATATTTAGAGAAATGACAGTAGAATGTGTGCTACTTTCTGTTTTATTTAAATGTTTTAAATACAATAAAAAAAAAAGTTACATATTATCTTCCTCAGAGTTTCTTTGTCTGTAGTCCTCTTCCGCAGAGTTTCTGTGTTCTTCATGTAGCTGGACCTCAATCTGAAAATGTAAAAAGAAAAATGTATTTCCTGTCTGAGGGGTCTTGTCACAACTATCACCTGGGATTCATGCATTTTTCCGATGGAATCCAGTAGAAAAATGTGTGAATTTTGGGTGAAAAGCCCTACGGCTTGGGCAAAATAACAAAACACATACACAGTACCAGGGGTGGACTGACAACTCATGGGGCCCCTGTGTCCTTGCCCAAACTCAAAAAAGCCTATGAAAAAGGTACCAGGGGCATCTCATGGGGCCCCCCTACTTACCCCCGGGCCCTCTGGTAGCGCCAGAGTTTCCAAATGGTCAGTCCGCCCCTGCACAGTACATCTCTGTGATATATACACACATCTCCCTGCATTTTATCCCTTTACGAGATCATAATGCTGGAGGAGTTTCACAGGGGGTGCAGTTAAAAAAAAAAAAAAAAAAGGCAGATTATCAACATTGTGAATAGACCACACCCTCCTATGTCAAATATAACATGATTGTGACTCCTAAGCCGCCGTAATGATACTTCAACCCAGGAAGCTCAAATCTTCATTCTAATCAATAGCGACCCACATAAAATTCAAATTCCAAACACACAAAATGTCCAACAAAAGTTCTCAAGCCTTTTCATACATACAGTCAGGTCCATAAATATTGGGACATCGACACAATTCTACAATTTTTGGCTCTATAAATCACCACAATGGATTTGAAATAAAACAAACAAGATGTGCTTTAACTGCAGACTGTCAGCTTTAATTTGAGGGTATTTACATCCAAATCAGGTGAACGGTGTAGGAATTACAACAGTTTGCATATGTGCCTCCCACTTGTTAAGGGACCAAAAGTAATGGGACAATTGACTTCTCAGCTGTTCCATGGCCAGGCGTGTGTTATTCCCTCATTATCCCAATTACAATGAGCAGATAAAAGGTCCAGAGTTCATTTCAAGTGTGCTATTTGCATTTGGAATCTGTTGCTGTCAAGATGAGATCCAAAGAGCTGTCACTATCAGTGAAGCAAGCCATCATTAGGCTGAAAAAACAAAACAAACCCATCAGAGAGATAGCAAAAACATTAGACGTGGCCAAAACAACTGTTTGGAACATTCTTAAAAAGAAGGAATGCACCTGTGAGCTCAGCAACACCAAAAGACCCGGAAGACTACGGAAAACAACTGTGGTGGATGACCGAAGAATTCTTTCCCTGGTGAAGAAAACACCCTTCACAACAGTTGGCCAGATCCAGAACACTCTCCAGGAGGTAGGTGTATGTGTGTCAAAGTCAACAATCAAGAGAAGACTTCACCAAAGTGAATATAGAGGGTTCACCACAAGATGGAAACCATTGGTGAGCCTCAAACAGGAAGGCCAGATTAGAGTTTGCCAAACGACATCTAAAAAAGCCTTCACAGTTCTGGAACAACATCCTATGGCCAGATGAGACCGAGATCAACTTGTACCAGAGTGATGGGAAGAGAAGAGTATGGAGAAGGAAAGGAACTGCTCATGATCCTAAGCATACCACCTCATCAGTGAAGCATGGTGGTGGTAGTGTCATGGCGTGGGCATGTATGGCTGCCAATGGAACTGGTTCTCTTGTATTTATTGATGATGTGACTGCTGACAAAAGCAGCAGGATGAATTCTGAAGTGTTTCGGGAATATTATCTGCTCATATTCAGCCAAATGCTTCACAACTCATTGGACTCCGCTTCACAGTGCAGATGGACAATGACCCAAAGCAGACTGCAAAAGCAACCAAAGAGTTTTTTAAGGGAAAGAAGTGGAATGTTATGCAATGGCCAAGTCAATCACCTGACCTGAGTCCGATTGAGCATGCATTTCACTTGCTGAAGACCAAACTGAAGGGAAAATGCCCCAAGAACAAGGAGGAACTGAAGACAGTTGCAGTAGAGGCCTGGCAGAGCATCACCAGGGATGAAACCCAGCGCCTGGTGATGTCTATGCGTTCCAGACTTCAGGCTGTAATTGACTGCAAAGGATTTGCAACCAAGTATTAACAAGTGAAAGTTTGATTTATGATTATTATTCTGTCCCATTACTTTTGGTCCCTTAACAAGTGGGAGGCACACATGCAAACTGTTGTAATTCCTACACCGTTCACCTGATTTGGATGTAAATACCCTCAAATGAAAGCTGACAGTCTGCAGTTAAAGCACAACATGTTCGTTTCATTTCAAATCCATTGTGGTGGTGTATAGAGCCAAAAATGTTAGAATTGTGTCGATGTCCCAATATTTATGGACCTGACTGTATGTATATATATATATATATATATATATATATATATTTGTATTGTCCACCAATTCCTCCTCTTCCACTCTTTGTACCTCACAGAAATAAATTACACAGTGCATTGTCCTTAAAATATAATGGTTGTAACGGAACCGACCCCACACTGCACTTGGGTTTTTCCGTTAGAATACCGCTTCCCCATCCAAATACAGACAACAGACCCCACAGCCGACCATACAAGACTAGACGACAAGCAATCCAGAAGGTAGACTAGTTTATTTTAACACAGATACAAGATATATACACTCAAGGAAACAATCCCCCCTCCCTGCATAATGTCACATGGTAGGGCAATCTACATTTAGTAACACCAACAGACAGTCCCATTATGAGGGAGGGCTGCTCGAGATACACCAACCCCCCCCCCCCCCCCCAAGCCAATACACATAAACACATACATCCCATAATAGTTTGCTCCCAAGCAAGACACACAATAGAACAATGGGATACAGCCACATAACATCAAACAATCAACAACCCCCACCTATACATGTCTACACAATATTAGGACAGATCACCCTGTACCCATAACAGGCACAGGGTGACTTACACATAATAGGGATATGGGGAGCTAGGTTCCATGGGCCCCCCACCCAAAGTAACTCCCGTTACACTGGTGATGTGCTCACATCAAAGTGTTCAATTGGAAGAGGGGGTTCTTCCCTCTTCTAAGATGGCGATGATAATCGGAGGAGTAACGGGGTATATATGGCCGGCCAAAGTCTGACGGACTCATCCTTTGAAAAAGTCGTGATGACAAAACGTCGTCAGTGACAGATTTGCGGAAGTATTGTGGCGGCCATTTTGGAAAAGGTCCGGAATGGCCAGAAACAATAGGAAGTAGCAGGCTTGGAGGAGATGTTTCATTGCTGCAAATATGTAAACGCTGTTAGTACATACGAAGATCCTGGAGTAAGAGTCTTTCATTACCGGTCAATCTGGTAAGGTACATGGGTTAACAGGTGTACCATTCGGCTGTTTCACTGTATGATCACACGTGTGGGGGGTGACGTGACACTGATTCACAGTATAGGAAGGATCCTGTAATCACTTGAGCTTATTAACCAAAGTCCGGACACTTTCACCTCCTTCCTGTCCAGGCCAAGTTTCAGCTTTTGCACGGTCATGCAACACTACACCCATATGACTTTTTTAGCATTTTTTTTGAGACAGATAAAACTTTATTTTGGTGATATTTATTCACCACTGGGATTTTTATTTTTTTTGCTATATAAATGAAAAAGTCCAAAAATTTTGAAAAAAAGTAAGTTTTTCTTGCAACATTTTGCAAATAAATAATCTTTATTCATAAATCTTGGCCAAAATGTATTGTTATCTTTTTAGTAAAATAAAAATAAATTAGTTTATAACCAAAAATTGTAAAAGCAATAATTTTTACTCCTCTCTGGCTGCATTCTTGCAGCCATTGAGAAATACTGTGAGAGCTGTGATTGGTCACAGCTTGTCACATGGTACAAGGCTGTTGTGAATAGCCTTGTACCATGTGACCATTCACAGATTTCACATGTAGTAAGCAATGATGTCAGGAAGTGACAGCTTGCTTACTATTATTCATATGATCATTGATTGGCCAATCAGTGATCACATGTTCGGGACCTCACACAGAGGTCCCATACACCAATTAGTGTTCCGCTGTGTCCAGAGGACATCGGATCGCGGTGCCGGGCGCTCCCTTTAAAATGCGGGCGCAGTTAATGAACGGCAACCTGCTCCTGCCCAGCCGTTTATATACATAGGTTGGACGGGAAGTGGTTAAGCAAGTTATCTACCAACTCAGGGTAAGGGTAGGGATTCCAGTCACTGGAGGAACACATGATCACTGAGCGCACACGTTTTGAACACTTTGATGTGAACACATCACCAGTATTTGTTATATTTTAAGGATAATGCACTATTTTTAGTTAATTTCTTTGAAGTACGAAGAGTGGAAGAGGAGAAATCTGTTTGAGGAATACGGAATTGGTGGACAATATGAAGATATCACCTGTATATATGGGAAAAAACCTTGAGAACTTTTGGGACTTTGTGTTGGACTTTTTGCGTGTATGGAATTTGAATTTCATTTTGGCCGCTATTGATTAGAACGAAGATTATCAACACGGTGTGTGAGTCACTGACCTGGGAAATATCGATTAGATTGCCATTACGATGATTAAACAAAACCTGTGCCCCCTTATATCAGAGTCCTTCTTTCCATCATGACTACTCCTCAGAGTCCCCCTTACATCAGGATCCCAATCAAATTGCCCCTCACTGCATCAGATGTCCCTATTGGAGTGCCCCCTTACATCAGCTGTCTGTATCAGACTACCTCATGGATCAGTGGATGCACTCTCAGAGATCTGGGGGGGGGGGTTCACCCCTCTAGATCCGGCCCTACTTTCTGAGGATATGATGGGCTGTCAGTGATCAGCCTGTCCTGCCAGCGTCACACCACAAGCTGGCGGTGACAGCACAACTGATACGTGTGACATCACAACTGATACGTATGACATCACTGAACAGGGTATACCTCCATACTGCTGCATATATGACCAGTAGGAAGGGGTTAAAGTAGAATTCCATGCCAAACTAGGGATGTGCAATTCCTATCGCCCGGGACATGTAGTGCCAGGCAGCTAGTTTTTTTGGCCTTTAGCCCTGCTGTAGGCAAGCAGCAGGGCTCACCTGTCAGGTGAAGCAATCAGCGGCAGCGCTGCCACTGATTACTTTCACACAGTGCCAGCCTCTCCACGCCCCCACTGTGAGGTTTACCGGGCTCCGCTTGCCCATCTGCGGACCCGGCTCACCGTCGGCTAGAGGGAAGGGAGAAGCCCCCTAGTATCCTTCTGGATGTGCTTGCAAATCCCAATTGGCAGCCCACAAATTCTGCAGCACCTGTACTTCCCCCATTCACTGCCCAACCGGGAATTCAGGTGGAAACAGCAAATTTAACTACTCCCCTTGATTTTTGGAGCTGTTTTTCATGGAAAATCTGTATGCATTGATTGTGGATCAAAGCAATTTATATGCACAACAGTTTATCACCGCCAACCCAAATTCAAACCTTGCTAGACCATTTGCATGGAAACCCATTACGGTTTCTGAATTTAAAAGTTTTTTTGGGCCTAACCCTCAACATGGGCAAATGTATTGCGGTTGTATTGGTCCACAGACCCGATTCATCATATCCCGTGTTGTCTGCTGCCATGGCCAGGCATAGAGAGAGTATAATGCATTTTATGCATTTCAACGACAATACACTCTGTCGTCCTCGGGGTGACCCTGAATTTGAGCAGCTCCACAAAATTCAGCCCCTTGTAAATCACATTAACCAAAAATTTGCAGGTGTCTATACTCCTCAGCAAAAAATCTACGTTGACGAGTCCCTCATTAAATTTATCTTGCCGCCTTGCAATCAAACAATTTCTCCCCAGCAAGCGTGCCAGATATGGGGTCAAGATATATAAGACCTGTGAGAGGGCAACAGGCTATACATATAAGTTTCAGATTTACGAGGGAAAAGATAGTCACGTGGAGCCCCCCCGGATAACCAGACTACATGGGGAGCAGTGGCAAGATAATTTGGCACCTGGTGTCATCCTTTTTTCATATGGGGTACCACTTATACGTGGACAATTTTTATTCAAGCGTGCCACTACTTAGACATTTGTACAATCTTGGAATTGGCGCATGTGGCACCGTGCAACCTAATCGCCAGGACTTCCCTAAACGGCTTGTAAATACCCATCTTAAAAGGGGAAAAAAAGCCTGCTTGAGAAATGAGGAATTTCTCACAGTGACGTGGAAGGACAAACGGGATGTTTTTGTTCTGTCTTCCATTCTCACAGATACAACCATCCAAAATACCACGGCAGCTGGTGGTGTTGAGAATCCCCTCTGTGTCCACGATTATAACCTTAATTAGGGAGGGGTGGACTTCAACGACCAGATGATGAAGCCATACTTAGTTTTCCGAAAAGTCAGACGCTGGTACAAAAAAAATGTCTGTTTATTTCAATATAATGCTTTTGTGCTTTACAAATGGATGAAGTGGATCCTTCCTAAAATTTCAGGAAGAGATCATCATGGCCCTTTTGTATCCAGAAAGTGCTATGGCCCAAACCCCCAACACAGAAGCAGTTAGTCAGCTGCATGAGAGGCATTTTCTTGATGCCATTCCTGGTACCCCAACGCAAAAGACACCTCAAAAAAAGATGTGTCTGTAGCAGACATGGAATTAGGCGTGACACCCGCTTTTTTTGTACCTTCTGTCCTGGCCAACCAGGTTTCTGCCTCAAGGACTGCTTCCGTCGCTACCACACACAAAGTGGAGTATTAGTATAAGGTACAGCACAGCATTCTAGGGCACAGGGTCTCAAAAGATGTTAGGTAGTCGGGAAAATGGCACAAAATTACATTTTGAGGGACCCTACAGTCTTGTTAAGCAAGTTCAAGTAAAAAAAAAAAAAACCCATAAAAAAATTAAAATTTGAAAAACCAAAAATAATTGTGTTTTTTTTTTTGTTCTCGTTGTTACTGTTCTGCTGCTACGATTTTCCTGATTTATTGTTAACTATTGCTGTTTTCTTTGCAGGAATGCCATTCAGCTACAGCACCAACCTGTTTATTCTGAAAGCAACAGGAACTTGCTCTCAGAATATACATAAGCCAGTGTGGGCAGCGCTGTGGGATGAGATTTTTTTCATCCGCAGTTGAAAAAAAGAGCATATATGCCAAAACATGGGAACCTGGGGTGGCCAGTGGCTGGACAGCCCTTATGCTTCGGCATATATAGTTTATAAACATTTTTGGGCACATTTTTCAATAAAAAAAAGTTGTTTTGAGTTACTGTTTTATTGTTAATCATTGCGGTTTTCTTTGCAGGAATGCCATTCAGCTGCAGCACCGACCTGTTTATTCTGAGAGCAAGTTCCTGTTGCTCTCATAATATACATAAGTCAGTGTGGGCAGCGCTGTTGGATGAGATTTTTCAACCGTAGTTGAAAAAAAAAGAGCATATATGCTGAAACATGGGGGCCTGGGGTGGTCAGTGGGTGAATGGCCCCTATGCTTCAGTATATATTTAAAAAAAAACATTTTGGCAGAGATTTCTTCATCCACATCAACCAATGTGAATAGATTAACCTGTTAGGTTCTTTTTTTTTTCGTTCAGCCAAAAAAAAAAAGAACATTTCATGTGTGCCCACCATTAGAAGTGGGTGGATGCAGAGTGGTAAATTATAATGGTGGGCATACCACACACTTTTTCTGGCAGAGATTTCTATTTCTTTTTTTCATTGAGCCTGCAGGCTGTATAAAAAAACAAAAAAAAACAAAAAAACAAAACAAAACAAAAAAAAAACATAGCATACAGTATATACCCAATAAGGACCAGCGATGTACTGGTACATCACTGGACTTTGAGTGGTTATACCAGGATGATGCCTACAGCTGCAGGCGTCATCCTGGTATCGGTTTTTTCAGCTGGCGATCGGCTTTCATGTAAAAAACAATCCTAATGGATAATTAGCTGCAGAATTGCTTTTAAAAGCAGCTGGAGAAGATGCCCCCTCCCCCACTGCCTTCCACGGCCTTCTCGGGGTAATCCTGTGCCATCGGAGGAACCTGAGAATGCAGCCGGAGTTTCTGTCAGCTGACCATAGAGCTGATTGGAGACCGGAATGGTGCCAATCATCTCTATAGTCTAAGAAATCGGAAGCTACGAGCATTTCATCACTTCAATTTCGCAGGATATAAACAGCGCCATATGTAAATTGGGAAAGCATGTGATCACACCGATCTTAGTGAGATTAGATAATGTAAGGGCAGAGGAGATATCCAGTCTGATAGATCCCAGATTTCACAAAAAAGAATATACAGTGAGGAACAGAAGTATTTGAACACCCAGCTATTTTGCAAGTTCTCCCACTTAGAAATCATGGAGGGGTCTGAAATTCACATTGTATATGCATTCCCACTCTGAGAGACAGAATTAAAAAAAAAATAAATTCAGGAAATCACATTGTATGATTTTATTAGATTTATGAGCTCTGATCACTGTATTGGTGTCACTGGGGATGTCAGTGACACCAAGTCAGTCCCCCCCCAGTGTCAGAATGCCCACCACAGTCCCGCTACAAGTCGCTGATCGCCGCCATTACTAGTAAAATATTTTTTTTTAAATCCCATTATCTATACCGCCATTTGTAAACGCTATAACTTTCACGTAAACCAATTAATTTACACATTTCAGGATTTTTTTTTTTAGCAAATACATGGAGCAGAATGTATCCCGACGACACCCAGCAATCACCTTGGAATAGTGAAAGGGGAGAGGTCTGGGTGTAAACACAGATCTCTCCCGTCAGCATGAACAGGCTACTTTGTGATGCTCTGCATAGCAGAGCAATGCAAAGCAGCTTGTCTACATAATAAAACACACACAGCACACAGTTAACCCTTTGATCGCGCCAGATGTTAACCCCTTCCTGCCCAGTGCCATTAATACAATGTCAGTGCTTTTTACTAGCACCAATCACTGTATTAGTGTCATTGGGATATCAGTGGCAGTTAGTCAGTTCCCCCCCCCAGTGTCAGAATGCCCACCGCTATAAGTCGCTAATCGCCGCCATTACTAGTAAAATATATTTTTTAAAAATCCCAGTATCTATACAGCCATTTGTAAATGCTATAACTTTCACGTAAACCAATTAATTTACACGTTTCAGGATTTTTTTTTTTTTAGCAAATACATGGAGCAGAATACATTTTGTCCTAAATTTATGATGAAATTAGATTTTTAAACTTTTTTTTACCTACATGTTTCATAACAAAAAGTCCAAAATATTTTTTTTTTTCAAAATTGTTGGTCTTTTTTTGTTTATAGCGCAAAAAAATCCCTGCAGAGGTCATCAAATACCACCGAAAGAAAGCTCTATTTGTGGGGGGGGGGGGGGACGTAAATTTCATTTGGGCGCAGCGTTCCATGACCGCGCAATTGTCAGTTAAAGTAACGTAGCGCCGTATCACAAAAAATTGCCTGGTCGAGGAGGGGGGGGGGGGGGGGGAATCCTCTGGAGGGTGAGGGGTTAAAGATGCCAACTCTCATGAGGTCACCATAAGCATGCAGCCAGTAAAATCTGGTTGGCATTATGTTCCAGGTCAGTAGTTTGCTGGGCAGGGAGTATGGGGTCAGATGACAACTTCTGAAAATGAACTACAGCTCCCAGATTTTTGTGTGCACAGGTGGAGGTGGAGTAGATGGGTCTGCTGTGAATGTAGGACTGTTAGTGCTACTTCTAACAACCAATCAGCTTCTCCCTTTAATGTCCTATGGCCATATAGCAAGGATTATAGATGTCAGACTCGGCTCACGGCATCAACACACGATGATCAGTGCTGGCTGCGGTTTAGGATTAGCGCGTCGCTGTGTGAGAAGGCTCTGATGGAAGCAGCCACATTATTATTTGTCTCTGTGGTCATGAACTCATTTTGGAGGAGCTTGCATAGAAGTCCATGTAATAAAGGTCCACACTAGTGTGCCAGACCCCCCCTCCAAGTGGCTGGGATAAGAAATGTTCTTCCTGCCCCGATCAAAGGGGGGAGTCATGTGGTTTCTGGGGGTGCCAACATCATACCTCCAAGCATGGGAAGGTGCAGACCCCTCCCCCACCCGCAGGGAACGTGTACCTTGTATCCATGCAAAAAGTGATCTTTCTGGTCCAGAACCTTCTTGATGGAGTCGTCTTTGTTAAATGTTATCCAGGCATAACCGAAGGGGAAGCGGTCTTCAGGTTCTGTGGGTGAGAGACGCCGGATCAGTCATAAGATGCAATGTGGGTGGCAGGGGTGCGGAATTCCTCCAATGAGGGGGGGGGGGGGGGGGTAAAATTTTGTTTAATTTCCTTGATGTTGTCACAGACAGAAATAACCAGCTGAGGGCGATACAGAGCCCTATGAACCCCGCCCATGAGAGCCCCTCTGCACCACGCCCGTGGGAGCCCCCCACTGCACCCCACCTATGAGAGCTCCTCCACACCACGCCCATGAGAGCCCCCTACTGCACCCCATCTATGAGAGCCCCTCCACACCACGCCCATGAGAGCCCCCTACTGCACCCCACCCATGAGCCCCCCCAACACTCCTCTGCACCCCGCCCATGGGAGCCCCTCCGCACTCCTCTGCACCCCGCCCGTGTGAGCCCCCCACTGCACCCCACCCACGAGAGCTCCTCCACACCATGCCCATGAGAGGCCCCTACTGCACCCCACCCATGAGCCCCCCCAACACTCCTCTGCACCCCGCCCATGGGAGCCCCTCTGCACCCCCGCCCGTGGGAGCCCCTCCGTACTCCTCCACACCCCACCCATGGGAGCCCCTTCACACTCCACCTGTGGGAGCCCCTCCGCATTCCTCTGCACCCAACCTGTGGGAGCCCCTCCACAGTCCTCTACATCCTGCCATGGGAGCCCCTCCGCAGTCCTCCACACCCCGCCCATGGGAGCCCCTCCACAGTCCTCCACACCCTGCCTGTGGGAGCCCCCTGCACCCTGCCCGTGGGAGCCCCCTGCACCCTGCCCGTGGGAGCCACTCCGCACTCCTCTGCACCCTGCCCATGGGAACCCCCCTGCACCCTGTCCTTGGGAGCCCCCCCGCACCCGGGAGCCCCTCCACACTTTGACCGTGGGAGCCTCTCCGCATTCCTCTGCACCCTGCCCATGGGAGCCCCTCCACAATCCCCGCCCGTGGGAGGAGAACGGGAAAGGATTTTGAAATTGGGCTTTAAAGGAGAGCAATCATTAAAGGACAGGTTGACTTTTATTTAAAACTATGCAAACCCCACCCCCTTAACTACAATAGTCCCACCCCCTAAACTATACAAGTCCCACCCCCTAAACTACAATAGTCCCACCCCCTAAACTACAATAGTCCCACCCCCTAAACTACAATAGTCCCACCTCCTAAACAATACAAACCCCACCTTCCAATCTACATAAGTCCCACCCCTAAGCCACCTGGAGATAACCCCTCAAGTTATAGATTGGGGTGACACCGGAGTGTGTGTATACAGGTCTATGGGGGTCACTGGAGAAGATCAGTTTGGGAGGTGGGGGGGTCCTGTCCTTTATTCAACACCCCAACAGGAGGACATGAGGGGGGGGGGGGAGGGAAGTTGCACAGACCACGTGACTGTACTCACCCATCGCATGTGACAATTCGACACCAAACCGAACTGTCCGAAATGATCCTTGAGCTCTCCTGGAGGAACACAGACACAACGATTATATCCAATCCCGGGACTCGAACAGATCACACCCGAACCCCGGGACTCGAACAGATCACACCCGAACCCCGGGATTCGAACAGATCACACCCGAACCCCGGGACTCGCACAGATCACACCCGAACCCCGGGACTCGAACAGATCACACCAGAACCCCAGGACTCGCACAGATCACACCCGATCCCAGGGACTCGAACAGATCACACCAGAACCCCGGGACTCGAACAGATCACACCCGAACCCCGGGACTCGAACAGATCACACCAGAACCCCGGGACTCGCACAGATCACACCAGAACCCCGGGACTCGAACAGATCACACCAGAACCCCGGGACTCGCACAGATCACACCAGAACCCCGGGACTCGCACAGATCACACCCGAACCCCGGGACTCGCACAGATCACACCCGAACCCCGGGACTCGAACAGATCACACCCGATCCCCGGGACTCGCACAGATCACACCCGAACCCCGGGACTCGCACAGATCACACCCGATCCCCGGGACTCGAACAGATCACACCCGAACCCCGGGACTCGAACAGATCAAACCCGAACCCCGGGACTCGAACAGATCACACTCGAACCCCGGGACTCGAACAGATCACACCCGATCCCTGGGACTCGCACAGATCACACCCGATCCCTGGGACTCGCACAGATCACACCCGATCCCTGGGACTCGCACAGATCACACCCGATAACCACACTCACTGTAGCCGATGGTGAAGGGGATCCTGTACAGGAAGATTTTGGGCAGAACCTTACGAACTGCCGCCATCTTGGTGCTCTCTGTGACCTCTAAGCACCGCCCCCTTCCAGTGATGTCAGACGGGAAGATGGCAGCGGCCGTGCTGGAGGGGGAGGAGGCCTTCCGGAGGATCTTCCGCCTGTACCGGAGGACTCCTGAGGCCGGGGGGGGCCGTCCACTTCCGGCCCGGAGAGAGAGGGGTGAGAGCCGGGGGGAGGCAAGGCAAACCCTCAATTAAAGGGAACCCCCCATTATGTACAGGGCTCCCCCAGGCTTTCCTGACCCCCCCACCCCCATCATGTACCATGCTCCCATAGGAAGCCCCTTTCCCCCACTCTCCCCTGATCCCCAATATTTACAAGGCCCCCCCACGCTTCTTTCCCCCCATTATTCGCTGGTCTCCTTCAACACAGAATAAAGACCCATTTTCCACACTCCCCAATTACTTTCCAGCCCCCCCCCCCCCATTACCCTGATCTCCTTTTCAGGCCCTCCCCCGCACTGCCCAGATCCCCGCATTACGCCGACCTCCTTTCCTGGGCTCCCCCCCCCCCACACGCACTGCCCAGATCCCCGCATTACCCCGACCTCCCTTCCTGGGCTCCCCTCCCCCGCACTGCCCAGATCCCCGCATTACCCCGACCTCCCTTCCTGGGCTCTCCCCCCCCCCCCCCGCACTACCCAGATCCCCGCATTACCCTGACCTCCCTTCCTGGGCTCCCCCCCCCCCCGCACTGCCCAGATCCCCGCATTACCCCGACCTCCCTTCCTGGGCTCTCCCCCCCCCCCCCCCGCACTACCCAGATCCCCGCATTACCCCGACCTCCCTTCCTGGGCTCCCCCGCAGTGCCCTGATCCCCGCATTACCCCGACCTCCCTTCCTGGGCTCCCCCGCACTGCCCTGAACCCCGCATTACCCCGACCTCCCTTCCTGAGCTCCCCCGCACTGCCCTGAACCCCGCATTACCCCAACCTCCCTTCCTGAGCTCCCCCGCACTGTTCTGACCTTAGTGGAACTAAACTCATCGTTAACAGTTTTTTAAAAAAAAACCCGTCCTAGTGGAGGCATGCTGAGGATGGTAACTGTCACATGGCTCGTTTCCTCCACCAAACTGCCAAACCATCCAATGGGTGGAGGTTGAACTGATCACATGGTGCAGCACCATGGCAACTGCAGATTAGACAGAGGCCAAGATGGCGGCTTCCTTGGCTGGAAAGGAGGGGGAGGGTTTAGGCTCCATTCACACTTGTTACAACTTGGACATGAAAGTCGCAGCCCATTCTTTTCAGCGGCACCCATTCAAGTCAGTGCAACGTCTTTATTTTTTTTAGTTTTGGACGGATTGGGGAGGGATTAGACCCCCTGCCAGCTCTTTGTTGCTGCCTAGGCCCCTATTGGGGGGATTCATCTATTTGTCCATCATTGAAAGTGAAAGAAAACCCCAAATGTTGGGTTGTCCCCAGAGAAGTACTAGAGATGAAATCTTCCAATGGGGACACTAGTTCTGGTGACCTGGGGGGTTCCCAAGGAATTCCCTTAATTTGTGGCAATTTCCTCTCATGGGGGGGCGTGGTCTGACGATGGCGACATGAGGACGCTTTGCAGGGACCTGGACAGACAGCTTGCACATCGAGCCTCACTGCCCGGCTGCTCTCTCATGCCAGGGGACCAGAGAAACGTAAGGGGCGGTGAGATCACCCGTTACTTTCTCCGCCAACACCCTTTCCTTTCCCGTGGCCTCCCCCAAGATGGTGCCACCACCACAGCCTAGCTCCGGTGGGTCGGCCTCTGCAAAAAAGCCTTCACAGTCGGGAGTATCTCCTCCAAAGCGGGGGGTTTCAGCTCCCTACGGACCGGTATCCCTGATCTCCTCTCCTGCCTTCCCCCCCTGAGGGCTCTCCACCACCGTCGGACAGGGAAGGCGAATCGCATGGGCCTATGGCGGGCTCTATCAGGGACCTTATGGTGGACTTTCCTACCAAACAGGACCTGCAGGCTATGGCTACTTCCATTGTAAATGTCCTCTCCCGTGAACTTCATGATCTCCACCAGCAAGTGGACACTGTGGAGGAAAGGGTGACAGACTTGGAAAGCTCCTCTAATACTACCGATGCTAGACTGTCCGCCATTGAGGCCGGTCAGCAGGCCTCTTCGGCGCCATCTCATAGATGTACATGTTCGATTGGATGATGGGGAAAACTGTGATCGCCGGAACATTCTCCGGCGGATTCCTGAGGCTACTAATGGGGGAACCGACACGCCACTGTGACTGCTATTCTCAACTCCTGGAGAAGCCTCCCACAGCGGAACTGGAACTTGATCGGGTGTACCGTGTCTTGGGACCTCGCCTGCCTCCTCCAACCCAGGCAGAATCTGACTCTCTACCCCCCTCCCAGAGATGTCCTCTGCAGGGTTGATTTTTATACGGTAAAGGAAGAAATTCTGCGTCGAGCTTGGACCGCTGGTCCAATAGACTTTGATGATGCCACAAATCGCATTATTATTATTATTATTATACAGGACTTATATAGCGCCGACAGTTTGCTTAGCGCTTTACATTATGGAGGGAGACAGTACAGTTTCAATACACGAGGGATTAGAGGGCCCTGCTCCTGGGAGCTTACAATCTAGCAGGGAGGGGATAGTGGTACAAGTGGTAATTAGCTGTGGGGGATGGAGTGGTTGGTGGAGTAAGGGATTCCAGTAGTTAGTCGGGGTAGGCTTCCCTGAAGAGATAGGTTTTCAGAGTGCACCAAAAAGTGAGCAGAGTAGGTGATAGCCTGATAGCTTGGGGTAGGGAGTTCCAGAGGATGGATGAAGCCCGTGAGAAATCCTGGAGATGAGCATGGGAGGAGAATACAAGGGAGCTAGAGAGTAGGAGGTCTTGCGAGGAGTGGAGAGTACAGTTTGGGTGATATTTAGAGACAAGATCGGTGATGTATTTTGGGGCAGAGTTATAAATGGCTTTATATGTCATTGTTATTGTTTTGAATTTTATCCGTTGGGCAATGGGAAGCCAGTGGAGGGATTGGCAGAGAGGGATGGAGGACACTGAGTGGAAGCCAGTGGAGGGATTGGCAGAGAGGGATGGAGGACACTGAGTGGAAGCCAGTGGAGGGATTGGCAGAGAGGGATGGAGGACACAGAGTGGAGACCAGTGGAGGAATTGGCAGAGAGGGATGGAGGACACTGAGTGGAGACCGGTGGAGTGATTGGCAGAGAGGGATGGAGGACACTGAGTGGAAGCCAGTGGAGGGATTGGCAGAGAGGGATGGAGGACACTGAGTGGAGACCGGTGGAGTGATTGGCAGAGAGGGATGGAGGACACTGAGTGGAGACCAGTGGAGGGATTGGCAGAGAGGGGTGGAGGACACTGAGTGGAGACCAGTGGAGGGATTGGCAGAGGGGTGGAGGACACTGAGTGGAGACCAGTGGAGGGATTGGCAGAGAGGGGTGGTGGAGACCGGTGGAGTGATTGGCAGAGAGGGATGGAGGACACTGAGTGGAGACCAGTGGAGGGATTGGCAGAGAGGGGTGGAGGACACTGAGTGGAGACCAGTGGAGGGATTGGCAGAGAGGGGTGGAGGACACTGAGTGGAGACCGGTGGAGTGATTGGCAGAGAGGAATGGAGGACACTGAGTGGAGACCAGTGGAGGGATTGGCAGAGAGGGGTGGAGGACACTGAGTGGAGGCCAGTGGAGGGATTGGCAGAGAGGGGTGGCGGATACGGAGTGGTTAGTAAGGTGGATGAGTCTGGCAGCAGCGTTCATGATGGACTGGAGTGGGGATAGCCTGCGATGAGGTCAGTCAATGAGGAGGGAGTTACAATAGTCAAGGCGAGATATAACAAGGGAGTGAATGAGTTGCTTGGTGGTTTCCGGGGTTAGGAACGGGCATATCTTGGACCCCCTATTGGATGTCTCTTGAGGTTCTTCCCATCTCTCTTATGAACGTCTCAGACGTTTGAAGGGTGATCTTCAGCTTTTACGATTAGTTGACCCGTGGCGTTTGCTGAACCCTCAGTGCTGTGAATATTCGTTCTTTTCACCAGTCCATCATACTTATTCACGCTTAGACTATCTCCTGATCTCTCATCAGGCATTTCCTTTTGTTGTCTCTACACAATTGATGTTATTTCTTTTTCTGACCATGCCTCAGTCCACCTTACCCTCCGGTTGGATTCGACTATATGTGGTCCCCCTTCCTGAAGGCTGAATGAAACCCTTCTTCAATCCCCAAACACTTGTGCCGCATTACAGACCGCCCCTTCCGGAGTATTTTGTGGTCAATCATGATTCGGTAGACAACCCTCTTGTGGTGTGGGAAGCTCACAAACCAGTGGTTTGAGGCCTTGCTGATCCATGGTGCATATCTCAAACGGGAGCGCTCTCGTCAGATTGACAGTCTTCTGCGTGATTTGCACCGACTTGAGCATTCCCATAAAGCGTTCTTGGCACGTGCCACTTACCACGAACTCTCTACAGTTTGTGAGGATTTGCGGTCTCTACCTCAGAAAGAAACAAGAACTGGCCTGGGCTCATCGCTCTATGTATGAATTCTCAAATAAGCCGGACACCTTGTTGACTCGGGCTCTTCGTGGCCCTCGGACCAGGACCTATATTCCGCACATACAAACCTCCTCTGGTCAAAAATTTACCACTTCCACCTATATGGCTACTGAATTTCATAGATTCCGTGACCTGTATATGGGCCACTCCCTTGCGGATGCCCCCTTGCTTCACTTCCAACATTTCAGCCTTAGGTATGCCATCCCTTTCTCCGGACGTCTGCTCGTAGCTGGAGGAGCCAATCACAATAGAGGAACTTGGAGTGGCATTGGCACAAACAAAGCCCAAGAAAGCTCCTGGCCCCGATGGTTTCACCCCAACCTATTATAGGACTTTTTTTGATATTCTCTCTCCCCACTTGGTCCTTGCACTTAACTCCATTGTACAGGGGCATCCCATGCCTCGTGATGCCCTCAGGGCATACATCTCATTAATACCCAAGGAAGGCAAGGACTCCAGTAGATGCGGGAATTATAGACCGATCGCTCTACTTAACTCCGACCTGAAATTATTTGCCAGGATTTTGGCTAACAGACTGCTCCCACATCTGTCATATCTTTAACAATTTGACACTACTGTGCTATACATGTTAAAATGTCATTAAGTATAAAAAAGAAGCAACTATTTCAGGTACTTATATAGCGCTGTCCATTTACGCAGCGCTTTACATATATATTGTACATTCATATCAGTCCCTAACCCTCAAGGGGCGTACAATCTAAGGTCCCTATCCCCCAAGGGGTGTACAATCTAAGGTCCCTATCCCCAAGGGGTGTACAATCTAAGGTCCCTAACTCACATTCATACATACACATACTAGGGACAATTTGGACAGGAGCCAATTAACCTACCAGCATGTCTGTGGAGCGTGGGAGGAAACCGGAGTATCCGGAGGAAACCCACGCAGGCACAGGGAGAACATGCAAACTCCAGGCAGCTGGTGCCGTGGCTGGGATTCGAACCAACAACCCTAGTACTGCCAGGTGGAAGTGCTAACCATTTAGCCACTGTGCTGCCCATGGCAACTAGCACAGTATCGCAGGTATCAATGTATAAAGATTATAAAACATTGTAAGCTCGAAAGAGCAGGGCCCTTGAACCCCTCGTGTATTGTATTGTTACAGTCTTGTCTCTTGTTCTGTCCCCCTGCTATTGTACAGCGCTGAGCATACCCTTTGGCGCTATATAAATACTGTATTATAATAATAATAAAACAAAGAGTACGGCGCTACAAATACAAAAAACTATAAACAAAAAATAAATAATACAGAATTATAAATTATAATGTCCAATGATGTGGAATTTTTTTTTTTTTACATAAAGTCTCTAGTGACAAATTAAAAGTTTGAATAATTAAAAAAAAAAAAAAAAAAAACGTCTTGGGGATCCACCATCCCCAGCACCTCAAAAAAATACTGCCTCTTACCAGACTTGAGTGACCCCACAATTAAGTGGCGGTCAAGAAAAGAATCATGCGGATACCAAATTAGGATGACGAACTCCATTACTGCTGACTCTGGGGGGATACGGTGAACTCCAAATACTGGATGTAGATAGACACCAATAGGATCCTTCCAATTAGATTCCCAAATCAGAAGTATCAGTTTGGCATGAGCTCCCAAACTGATACTTCAGATAAATTGCCAAATATAGACCTAAAACAATGAATTATCCTCAAAAAGGTCAAAGTCATCCAAAAAGCAAAATAATCCTCATAGTGTAGTATGATTAGCAGGATTTATTGCCTTGTCTGGACTTCTCCCATCTCTGACTCCATTTCCTTGTCCCCCTCCCCTTTGTTCTCTTTCATTATTTTCCTCCATTCCCTTTTCTCTCTTGTTCCTCTCCTTGCACCCCGCTCTCCTTCCTTATCTGATTCCCCTGTGCATCCATAGTCCTCCTCGTTGGTTTCCCAATCTACGTTGAGTTCTATATCCGAAATGCTTTCTCAGTCTGTTACCTGAGATCTCTGTGTGGAACCTCCTTTCCCCTTTTCTGAGATTTCGGGATGCCCTGGTTTCCCATATGGCTCGTGCAGCTGGTTGCTTGTGATTAGACCTTTGCCTTATTAGCCACTCAGGGGCCATACTGTGACCACGTAACTGATTTATTATGTTGTTGCCTACTTCGGTTTACATCATAATGCTGCTTGTTTATTTGTTATACTTGGCTAATTTATTGCCATGTGTCTTGTAGCTTCTATGTACTTTATATTGTAAGTTTTTTGGCTACCTTACCATAAAAATTTATAAACAAAGGAATTTAAAAAAAAAAATCCTCTCACTTCCTGTTTGGCTATGGGACAGGAAGTGAAGATAAATCTCCCCAATGGGATGGATGGAAAAAACTGTACCGACTGAAGTTATAACCCTCCCTTATTCTGTCCAAAATTTCAAACAAAGTTTTGCCTCTAGTTCTACTTTACATTTGCAGTGATTTTTAAAAAGGGGCCCAAACTACTTTTGTGTGACTTTTGATGAGACTTTGGTCCAGAGAATGTAAAGTCGGAAAAAAAAGTCACACTTAGAGTCACGCTCCAAAGACATACTGGAAATCATGCAACTGGAGACGCGCTAATGCGAATGGAGTCTTAGCCTTCAATTCCAGGGGTTCCCAAAACAGTTCTAGTCAAGGCAGGCTGGGAGTGCTGTCACATTGCTTGTGCTTCCAACCAGACTGTCAAACCATCCAGTGGCTGGAGTCATACCTGATCACGTGCAGCACCAAGGCAGTTGCAGATCATACAGAGGCCAAGATGGCAGCTTCCTTGGCTGAAAAGGAGAGGAGGGTTTAGTTCTGCTTTAATGATTGGACTGCCCTGACCTCCACTATGTTCTAGGCTCATCTGACCCCTCCCCCCCCCACTACTTGCCTAACCATACTCCCCTGAACCCTCCCCCAAAACCCCTCACCCTTATTGTGCCCCAGACTCCCCTTATTCCTTACCCCTCTATTCCTTACCAGGCACCCCTCAACCCTCCCCCCCCGCCGAACTGACTCCACCACACACACTCTCTTCTGACCCACACTCCCCTGATCCTCTTCCTCCACGCTCCCCTGATCCCCACGCTCCCCCTCCTCCACACTCCCCCCGATCCCCCTCTTCCACGCTCCCCCCCCCGATCCCCCTCTTCCACGCTCCCCCCGATCCCCCTCTTCCACGTTCCCCCCGATCCCCTTCTTCCACGCTCCCCCCGATCCCCTTCTTCCACGCTCCCCCGATCCCCTTCCTCCACGCTCCCCCGATCCCCTTCCTCCACTCTCTCCCGAACCCCTTCCTCCACGCTCTCCCGAACCCCTTCCTCCACGCTCTCCCGAACCCCTTCCTCCACGCTCTCCCGAACCCCTTCCTGCACGCTCTCCCGAACCCCTTCCTGCGCGCTCTCACCGAACCCCTTCCTCCGCGCTCTCCCGAACCCCTTCCTCCGCGCTCTCCCGAACCCCTTCCTCCGCGCTCCCCCGAACCCCTTCCTCCGCGCTCCCCCCGAACCCCTTCCTCCGCGCTCCCCCCGATCCCCTTCCTCCGCGCTCCCCCCGATCCCCTTCCTCCGCGCTCTCCCGATCCCCTTCCTCCACGCTCTCCCGATCCCCTTCCTCCACGCTCTCCCGGTCCCCTTCCTCCACGCTCTCCCGGTCCCCTTCCTCCACGCTCTCCCGGTCCCCTTCCTCCACGCTCTCCCGGTCCCCCTCCTCCACGCTCCCCCGGTCCCCCCTCCTCCACGCTCCCCCGGTCCCCCTCCTCCACGCTCCCCCGGTCCCCCTCCTCCACGCTCCCCCGGTCCCCCTCCTCCACGCTCCACTGGTCCCCCTTCCTCACTCTCCCTGATCCCACTCCTCCACACTCCCCTGAGCATTGCACACACAGATTACACTGACATTTCTATCCCAGCTATAAAAACATTCCCCACTAATACAGAACCCCCCCACCATACCCCCCCCCGACATGCCGCAGCCTCCCATCACTCATATCGCTCTCCTCTCCTACAGATGAAGTGCGCACAGCTGACTGTTGGTGCTCTGAGTAATCAGGATGCCGGGAGAGTTGGACTGCAACCACTGGAGCTCTGGAAGGCCTATCACCTGGAGGGGTACCCAGGTATGGCTCCCCAATACATTTTGTTCTTAATCTGCTCCATATGGAAATACTTGTGATCAGAGTGGGGAACGACAATGGTGTGCACATTGTCAGGAAGAAGATTCCTGGAACTAGCATGTCCCCACCCCTAGGAGCCAGCTGTGTGTACCTCGAGTATCTCCCACATACCATAATGCAGCACACAGCTGCTTAATGGTTCTCTGAGGCCGCCATGTTGCATGTTGGGATGTGGAGGGGGTGTGCCCCAGTTTCCAAAGAGAATATTTGCATATTGTTTGCTGTTTGGAGCCCTGAGGGGGCTGAAGGAGATATTCAGATTAAGCAGTGGTAGGTGGGTGGGGGAGGGGCTTGGATTGGGCAGTGGTGGGGGGGAGCAGGGGCTTAGAATGAGAAGTGGTTGGTGGGTGGAGGAGGAGCTTAGTTTAAACAGTGCTTGGTGGGTGGAGGATGGTCTGACTGAGATGGGTAAGTGGGTGGAGGAGGGGCTTAGAATGGGCAGTGGTTGGTGGAGGAGGAACTTAGAATGGACAGAGGTGGGTAGGTGGCTGAAGGAAAGCCTCAATTTGAGCAGTGGTGGGTGGAGCTGGGGCTTAGAATGGGCAGTGGTGGGTGGAGCAATGGCTTAGAATGGATAGTGGTGGGTGGAGGAGGAGCTTAGATGGACAGAGGTGGGTAGGTGGCTGGAGGAGAGCCTCGGTTTGGACAGTGGTGGGTGGAGCAGGGGCTTAGAATGGACAGTGGTGGGTGGAGCAGGGGCTTAGAATGGACAGTGGTGGTTGGAGGAGTTACTTATATTGGACAGTGTTAGGTGGGCGGAGGATGGTCTTAGATGGGCAGAGGTGGGTAGGTGGTTGGAGACGGGGCTTACATAGAGCAGTGGCAGGTGGAGCAGTGGCTTAGAGTGGGCTATTTTAGGTAGGTAGAGGAGGGGTTTAAATTGGGCAGCAGAATGTGAAGGGAACATAGATTGAGCAGTGGTAAGTGGCTGGCTGGAAGAGGGGCTTAGATTGGGCAATGGGGAAGACTTAGGCTTGGTTCACATCTGTGCGGGTGGTGCAGCTGCATTACCCACACAAATACCTGCATCTGCGCCACTCACAGAGAGGAATGCGGGACCTGCAAGGCAAGGGGGTGCCATTAATTCTAATGGCACGCCACCCGCACTGGAAAACGCAACCGCGCTGGGAACCGAGGTTCCTGTGCGGGCTGCGATTTCTGAAGAAGTGCAGGGACGTCTTCCCTGCGTGTCCCGGGGCACAGGAGTCCAAATGAATGGGCTCTCGTAAATCGTGGCCCATATGGCCGCACATATGTGAACCTGGCGTTAGATTGGGCAGTGGTACTTGGGTGGGTGGAGAAGTTACTTAGATTTTGCAGTGGTAGGTGGGTGGAGGAGGAAGGGACTTCGATCGGGCAGTGGTAGGTGATTGCTGTGTACATTTCAGGCCCCACCCTCTACTCTTCTGTCTCCTCCCCTCCAGGCTTCCTCTTCATTACTAACCCGTTCCTACCTGGTTGGCAGCATCGTTGGGTGCGCCAGTGTCTGAAGTTGTATCCCCGAAAACCCAATGTATGTAACCTGGACCTGCACGTGTCGCCGGAGCAGACAGCCGACCTATGGAGCGTCAGTGAGAAGCAGCTCAGGTGAGAAGAGGACACGCCCCCTGGGCACAGTGTCTAAGCCTTTCCCCCTAACAGCACTAGGGGAACACCTGAATCCAATGATTTGGAGGGGTGTCCCAATACTTTTGGCAATATAGTGTACAGTGCATCCAGAGAGTAGTCCCATTGGTCGGATGTCTCTGCTATTCACACAGCGCATCCAGAGAGTATTCCCATTGGTCGGATGTCTCTGCTATTCACACAGTGCATCCAGAGAGTGTTCCCATTGGTCGGATGTCTCTGCTATTCACACAACGCATCCAGAGAGTATTCCCATTGGTCGGATGTCTCTGCTATTCACACAGCGCATCCAGAGAGTATTCCCATTGGTCGGATGTCTCTGCTATTCACACAGCGCATCCAGAAAGTATTTCCATTGGTCGGATGTCTCCGCTATTCACACAGCGCATCCAAAAAGTATTCCCATTGGTCGGATGTCTCTGCTATTCACACAGCGCATCCAGAGAATATTCCCATTGGTCGGATGTCTCCGCTATTCACACAGCGCATCCAGAAAGTATTCCCATTGGTCGGATGTCTCCGCTATTCACACAGTGCATCCAGAAAGTATTCCCATTGGTCGGATGTCTCCGCTATTCACACAGCGCATCCAGAAAGTATTCCCATTGGTCGGATGTCTCCGCTATTCACAGTGCATCCAGAAAGTATTCCCATTGGTCGGATGTCTCTGCTATTCACACAGCGCATCCAGAAAGTATTCCCATTGGTCGGATGTGTCCGCTATTCACACAGCGCATCCACAAAGTATTCCCATTGGTCGGATGTCTCCGCTATTCACACAGCGCATCCAGAAAGTATCCCCATTGGTCGGATGTCTCCGCTATTCACACAGCGCATCCAGAAAGTATTCCCATTGGTCGGATGTCTCCGCTATTCACACAGCGCATCCAGAAAGTATTCCCATTGGTCGGATGTCTCCGCTATTCACACAGTGCATCCAGAAAGTATTATCCATGTACATGGGATGTTGGGAAAACTCTTCTGAACGATGGAAATCGTAGGTTAAAAACCGTCTGTTTAGCCACGTTTGCATACCGCGCGTTTATGAGCATTTGCGTTTAGAAGCGTTTTTTTAGGATAACCTCAGGAGACCTTCCCGTGCCTTTAAGGAGGGGTGGGCTCCCTCAGGTTCACCTGCCCTTGGTCTATCCATTAAATACCTGTGCCTCTACTATGGGGGCTCTCAAAATTTGTAGAGTTAGGACCACAGAATATTGGGGTGCCGTGACGTGGCTCTGTGGCTTACGTATGTATTTGCCAATGTGTGCTAACTAAACCTCTGTTTTTAAACGCATACTGTTAGACAGGTTAATTCGGTTGTTGGCAAGTTGAACTGGGTACTTTCTTTTCTTTTTTGATATGCGTTGCCTATCTATGTGTTCCTTGTTGTAAAAGCCAGTTATAGACTGGGGCAGCGACCTCCTTTTGTACTGACCTTCCAAAATGCCCAGAATGCATTGAAAAAACAGTAAAAAATGAACTATTTCAGACATTTTGAGAGAAATAGAGAGAGCAGAAGCAGAGAGAGCAGTATGTGTTGAGATTAGCTGTCTTTTTTTTTTTTTTGTGGTGCTTGGATGTGTTCCAGCTCATTTCTGTGCATTATTGTAGCAGTGTCTAACATTTTTTTTCATGCAAAACCTCAAAGTATGGAGTACCGGGTCCATTTGAGTACCGGAAAAAAACGATTTGCATGCATTTTTCATGATAAATAAAGGCCCTGGACAGCATCTGGAAATGGAAGAGTTAAAAAATATTAGTAAATGCTTATAAGCGCGGTTAGCTGCGTTTACAGGCGTTTGAAATGCTGATAAAATCTACTGCTGAACACAAGTTTGATGCGTTCAAAAAAACGACTGTAAACTCAAATGCCTGTAAATGACATAGTGCAGGGGCGGACTGACCATTTTTACACCTTTTTAAAAACGCAGCTGCAGGGAAAGTGCATAGTCTTTTTGACCACGCAGCTTCCCTACAGTTCCCGTACCTGCAAACACATTGGGGGGGGTGAAGATGTGATGCATGGGAGTGCCATTTAGAATGCATATCTAGCAAGAGCAGGGGCGGACTGACCATTTGGAAACAGAAGGGTTTAAGGGGGTTTTCTAAGGAAGCAAGTGCTTAATAGGCCATCTCATAGTGTGCAGCACACAGGTCCACACCAGGGGCAGACTGACCATTTGGAAACTCGGGCACTGCCCGAGGGCCCGGGGTCAGTAGGGGGCCCCATGAGATGCCCCGGGTACCTTTTTCATAGGCTTTTTTGAGTTTGGGCAAGGACACAGGGGCCCCATGATCCCCTATTGCCCGGGGGCCCCATGAGTTGTCAGTCCGCCCCTGTTAGGGAGAGTTCAGGGGCTGCTGATAAAAACGCAGAAAAGCTCCTAAATATGAGTTTATCAGCTGCAGTGTACATGGAGCCTTAGGCTGTAACATAACAAATTGTGGCAAAAAGTGAAGCGCTGGGAATACTTTCTGGATGCACTGTACATATGGAAAGTGCTGTGTAAATTGATAGTGCTGTATAAGTTGCTGTAATAAATTAAAATTAAATAATTGGCCAGCACGGAGTCTAATCACGTGTTATCTGTCTGATCAGGAAAAAAATGACGCAGAAACGCCAGGCGAAAACGCTGCTGGAAAAGCTGCGCTGGGTGACACTCGGCTTCCATTACAACTGGGAAACCAAGGTAATAAAGAGCCCCTTTGCTCCCTGGGCTGCAGTTGCTGGAGTCGGGGACACCAGGCCTAAACGGTCTCCTCGCCCAGTCATTGGTGTTTCCAGAGCAGCAAACCTGAATGTCTTCATTGTTCTTGGATTCTGTCTTGCCTCATCCACTGATGATAGCAGACATGTTGGCTGGGATCAGTTTATGGTGGAGCAGGATATCCAACAACATAAATATATAAATATGCAGCGCTAATAAAATCAAAATTAAAATCAAACAGAAATTGCACATGTCATATTAAAACAACTGAGTCCAATATTAGTGGTACAGTGAAAATATTGCGTGCAAGCATTAATAAATTCGCAGTAAAGGAAATCTGTGACTCTTGTGCTCGTGAGAATAGACAAACATTGCACTAACCATAACTAATTAATGCGCATGGAGCAAACAAGACCTGCTCCTGGTACTCTGGACTTGTAATTCCATAGGGAAAGATGTCATCAGCGTGTAGGCCACTAGGTGTCATCCATCTAGGTCAGGCATGTCCAAAGTCCGGCCCGGGGGTCGGTTTAATACGGCCCTCCAACAGCCCTCCCTGCTCTGTGTAATGTGGCCCTCCCACGGCCCTCCCTTCTATGGCAGACAGTCTTCTGCTTGAGAGCAGAGGGCAGTGCGCATGCCTGACTGCGGCGCGTTCTCCCTGGTCTGTGTAAATGCGGCTGTCGCACGGCCCTCCCTTCTGTGGCAGACAGTCTTCTGCTTGAGAGCAGTGCGCATGCGTGACTGCACCGCGCTGGGAGCGACAGAGGGCGGTGACGTCAGGGCCGGGCTTCCACCGCGAAGTGTGTTTCTCTTTCCCTCCCGGCTGCCGAGCAGAGACTTCAGCTCCAGCTACCTTTTTCACCCTTCACATTAGTGCAGGTAAGTTTTTTTTTTTATTTATTTTCAATACATTGTGAAAACTCAGCTGTCAGTTGATCTTAATGTTATGAAATGAAAAGTATGTCGTTTGCAATTAACTTGGCATAAAATAATTTATTTGCATTTAATTGTAATGGTTCAAAAGAATGTTCGGAAAAATGTTCGGCCCTCCACCATGTTTACTTCATCCAATCTTGCCCTCTTTGAAAAAAGTTTGGACACCCCTGATCTAGGTATACCCTCTAGTCTTCAAATATGCCAATCACAGCCACCAGGGGGAGGATCACACACCAATCCAGGTCACAGAAAACCTTCAAAAACGGGCTCCCAAGGAAATGACAAGCCCAGAGAAAGCTTCCAATAGTGCAGTAGGTCTTTATATCACAAAATTCCAGCATAAACAGATTAAAAGAACGAACTTACATCCGGATCCAATATGGCCACCGGTTGTCATTCAGGATGGCCTTGCGGTGTATGCACAGTAGTCAGGGGCACCTCCCTAACGCGTTTCGTGTACTTACACTTCCAACAAGCTCTCTCACTTCTCTCTCGTAGAAATACTACAAGGAAAGGTTCACCCCGTTCCCGGCAGACCTGGCGGAGCTTTCTCGCTGTGTAGCTTTTGCTTGCGGTTTCTCCAACTTCAGAGCCGAAGCCGGAATCCTCAACTACTACCACATGGACTCGTCCCTGGGGATCCACGTAGATGAGGCGGAGCTGGACCACCAGAGCCCCTTACTGTCCTTCAGGTGAGTGTGACCTGAGCCCCTGTGCATCTACAGGCTCTATTTACACCTCTGCAGGTGTTTGGATGCACACACCTTGTTGCATGATTGTATTGCGTTTAGGGCATCCTGTTCATTTTTCAATGGGCTACCCTTCGTGCGAAAATCACATCATGTATTTTGGTGCATGTGAAAGCAAGGTGCATTTTGGTGTCCTTAAGAAATAATGGCACAGCTGCACGTTTTGTAAAAAGGATGAACATTTTCATGCATTGTGTGTAGGAATGTGATAACTCATACACTGTTTACATCTGTGATTGGTCCCTTTATCAACACTCCCAAGGTACAGAGGCACTTAAATCGACTCCGTACGCAGTGTCCATGAACTGAGCCATGTGGGTGGCCAGATCCAGATCTGAACCTGTGACCTCTATGGCGTCTGGCAGTAGCTGTTCTGACTGTGCCACTTGAATACTGGACAGCTCCCTGTCCGATCCCTTGGGCAGCTCCCTGTCCGATCCCTTGGGCAGCTCCCTGTCCGATCCCTTGGGCAGCTCCCTGTCCGATCCCTTGGGCAGCTCCCTGTCCGATCCCTTGGGCAGCTCCCTGTCCGATCCCTTGGGCAGCTCCCTGTCCGATCCCTTGGGCAGCTCCCTGTCCGATCCCTTGGGCAGCTCCCTGTCCGATCCCTTGGGCAGCTCCCAGTCCGATCCCTTGGGCAGCTCCCAGTCCGATCCCTTGGGCAGCTCCCAGTCCGATCCCTTGGGCAGCTCCCAGTCCGATCCCTTGGGCAGCTCCCAGTCCGATCCCTTGGGCAGCTCCCAGTCCGATCCCTTGGGCAGCTCCCAGTCCGATCCCTTGGGACGCTCCCAGTCCGATCCCTTGGGCAGCTCCCTGTCCGATCCCTTGGGCAGCTCCCTGTCCGATCCCTTGGGCAGCTCCCTGTCCGATCCCTTGGGCAGCTCCCTGTCCGATCCCTTGGGCAGCTCCCTGTCCGATCCCTTGGGCAGCTCCCTGTCCGATCCCTTGGGCAGCTCCCTGTCCGATCCCTTGGGCAGCTCCCTGTCCGATCCCTTGGGCAGCTCCCTGTCCGATCCCTTGGGCAGCTCCCTGTCCGATCCCTTGGGCAGCTCCCGGTGCGATCCCTTGGGCAGCTCCCGGTGCGATCCCTTGGGCAGCTCCCGGTGCGATCCCTTGGGCAGCGCCCGGTGCGATCCCTTGGACAGCGCCCGGTGCGATCCCTTGGACAGCGCCCGGTGCGATCCCTTGGACAGCGCCCGGTGCGATCCCTTGGACAGCGCCCGGTGCGATCCCTTGGTTTCTGGTGAACCTTGAACTCTCCTGCCACTAATTGCCGCTAAAAGTCTGTGTGCATGAACACACAGGATAACATGGAGGAGCATTTGTAAAACGCCTGACGCTCCTAAAACCAGCAGCAAAAGCATCCAGTGTGCATGAGGCCTACCGAGTGAGTGACCTAAATCTATTGGAGAGCTGGCAGCTGCCATGTTTGATTTTTGGCTGCTCCTCCTCAGTGTATATACAGCACAGATACCGATCCATAGTCACTGTCTGTGGTTATAAAAGATGTGCGATTTGCAGGCATACACTGAATGTGCTCTCCATCCTTTGTGCCTCCACTAGAGGGAGCTCTGACCCTGTCCTGTCTTCATTCTCGCTGATTGGCTGTTCTCACAATGCTGAACTTATTCCAGTTTATCGCAATCCTTTTTTTTTTTTTTTTTTTTTTTTTTTTTTTATTCTTTAAAAGTATGCAAAATTCTGAGACACCCCAGTCTAAATTGTAAAAAACATAAATGTCACTTGGAACCTGAGCCTGGGATGATGCGCACCTCCTTCCTATAATTAGCTTCAGAACTCTATTTCCACCACGTCAAAAGGCCCCTCTTTCTATACATAAGAGTCCCCATCACTTCAGAGTACCCTCATGACAGAGTCCCCACTCCCATCAGAGACACCCCCGCCCTTCCCCCCATAGTCCTCTCATCCAGGGTCTCATGCTCATGGCACCTTGGGGGAACCCAAAGGGCACCCTGGTTAAGAAACACTGGCCTATTCCACAGGCCGGCCCATGTAATGTGTGGCTGCAGATCTTCAGCCTGGTGCCATCCAAAATAAAAAAAGGGGGCAGCTAAAATTATAGGGTCTCCTAAGGCCATGTATAAAAAAAACGCAGTATCAATAGTTCCATGTATTCCAAAAGTCAATAAGTTGCATCCCTCTATAATAAACATTCTCATTTACATCATCCCAGCTCCAGCTAAATCACCATTGTGGAAGAGGCAGACATGAACTACTGCAGGAAATGTCATTATTGTGGGAGGGGCAGAGACAAACTGCTGCAGGAAATGTCATTATTGTGGGAGGGGCAGAGACAAACTGCTGCAGGAAATGTCATTATTGTGGGAGGGGCAGAGACCAAAACTACTGCAGGAAATGTCATTATTGTGGGAGGGGCAGAGACCAAAACTACTGCAGGAAATGTCATTATTGTGGGAGGGGCAGAGACCAAAACTACTGCAGGAAATGTTTTTATTGTGGGAGGGGCAGAGACACAAACTACTGCTGGAAATGTCATTATTGTGGGAGGGGCAGAGACAAACTACTGGAGTAAATCTCCCCAATGTGGGAGGGGCAGAGACACAAACTACTGGAGGAACTCCTGTCATTGTGGGAGATGCAGAGGTACAAACAACCACAAGGATATTTTAACATGGTGGGGAAGGCACAGACACAAGCTACTGTGTGGAAGTTCAAACTTTTGAGAGGGGAAGAGACACAAACTGCACAGAAATCCACCATCAAGAGAGGAGCAGAGACAAAACTTGTGCAGATATCTCAGAATTGTGGGAGGGGCAGAGATGCAAATTATTGTAGGGAAACCACCGTTGTGGGAGGGGCAGAGGCACAACCTGCACAGAGATCTCACCGTTGTGGGAGGGGCAGAGTCACAACCTGCACAGCAATCTCACCGTTGTGGGAGGGGCAGAGGCACAACCTGCACAGAGATCTCACCGTTGTGGGAGGGGCAGAGGCACAACCTGCACAGAGATCTCACCGTTGTGGGAGGGGCAGAGGCACAACCTGCACAGAAATCTCAATGTTAGGGAGGGGCAGAGGCACAACCTGCACAGAAATCTCACGGTTTGGGAGGGGCAGAGGCACAACCTGCACAGAAATCTCACCGTTGTGGGAGGGGCAGAGGCACAACCTGCACAGAGATCTCACCGTTGTGGGAGGGGCAGAGGCACAACCTGCACAGCAATCTCACTCTTGTGGGAGGGGCAGAGGCACAACCTGCACAGCAATCTCACTGTTGTGGGAGGGGCAGAGGCACAGGTTCATACATCATTATGTGTTTGGGTGGGGCTGCGATAAGAATCAGAGCTGGACCCAGGAAACTCTGGCTGCATGTTTCCAGGCTCACGTTTTTATTATGGATTTTTATTATTTTTTTATCTCCATAGCCGGACAGGAGATGAGATTGACAGTTCACATGCACATTTTCCCATTTGACCAGTATGCTCCTTTTCTGTCTTGCAGCTTTGGCCAATCCAGTATATTCTTGTTAGGTGGGCAGAGCCGGGAAGTGGCTCCTACAGCGATGATGATGAACAGTGGTGACATTATGGTCATGTCTGGTGCCAGCCGCTTGTTGTATCACGCCGTGCCCCGGATTCTGCGCCACCCTGGAGGCGGACTCCTCCCCCCCGAACTGTCTGATCCTCCATGTGCAGATAAACCTGACATGAATCCCCTGACGGAGCCGTGTTCCCCCCAGGACTGGCAGGTGTGTGCAGCCTACCTCAACGACTCCCGAATCAATATGACTGTGCGCCAAGTTCTGGAGGAAGGGGGATCATTTCCAAAGGACATGGGCACTACAACCGATCACATGACCACTGGAGGGTCCTATCACAGCGAAGAGATATCAGAGGCAGAACTGCAGATAAAACAGGCCAAGACGACATCAAAGACACCTCAGGATGAGGATGACTGAACTTTCTTTATCAAATAAAGAGAATATTTTTATTTTTAATAAAACGGTCCCCTGTTGTTTGTGACGTGAGATCCCGGAGTACGAGTTCAACTTCCTGTCTTCTGTACAGAGAACACTGAGCCATTCATATTAGTCTCTGAGTCCTAAGAGCTTACACTCTAATGTCCCCCCCCCACTGTCACACACTATTTGTACTATATATTTTCATAGCTCTGAAATGTTCTGTAATGTACAGAGCACACTGACCAAGTCACATCAGTCTGTACCAGAGGAGCTTACACTCTAATGTCTCCTCGTGGTTGCACCCTATTATTATATATTTATATAGCGCTGACATATACCGTAGTACTGTACAGAGAATACTGAGCCATTCACACCCTGCTCCGGAGGAGCTTACCCTCTAATGTCCTCACCACAATCGTACACTATTATTAACCACCTCCCATCCTGCCGTTGTATATAAACAGTGGCAGTGCAGGGGCGGGTGGCAGTTTATAAACGGCCTCCCTGCACCCTGCTTGTGCGCGCTCCCTGGGAGCGCACAGCACCGTGATCCGGTGCCATCTGTGTCCTCCGGACATTGGGACACCGATCGTTGGACAGGACCTCTGTGCGAGGTCCCGATCATGTGATCACTGATTGGCCAATCAGTGATCACATTCAGCGTAGTAAGCAAGATGTCACTTCTGACATCATTGCTTACTAAATGTGAAATCTGTGAATGATCACAGAGCAGGAGCGGACTGACAACTCATGGGGCCCCTGTTTCCTTGCCCAAACTCAAAAAAGCCTATGAAAAAGGTACTAGGGGCATTTCATGGGGCCCCCTACTGACCTCAGGCAGTGCCTGAGTTTCCAAATGGTCAGTCCGCCCGTCACAGAGGTCACATGGCACAAGGCTATTCACAACAGCCTTGTACCATGTGACAAGCTGTAACCAATCACAGCTCACACAGTAGTTCTCAATGGCTGCAAGAATGCAGCCAGAGAGAAGGAGAAATTATTGCTTTTACAGCCTTTATGGGTGTAAAAAAAAAAATCTTCACCCCCCGCAAGTAGTACAGTGTCACCATGGTGACACTGTACTGCTAGGGTGACAGTATGTATAAAAAAAAACCATAAATAAATAATATAAAAAAAATAAAATGTAAAGAAATTTTTCAAAAATTATAATTTTTGGTTATAAAGTAGTTTGGGTTATTTTTTTTTACTAAAAAGATAAAGGAATAAATTTTGGCCAAGATTTATGATGAAATATAATTTATTTACAACATTTTATAAGAAAAACAATTTTTTTTCAAAATTTTTGGACTTTTCATTTACATAGCAAAAAAAATAAAAATCCCAGTGGTGAATAAATACCACCAAAATAAAGCTTTATCTGTCTCAAAAAAATGCTAAAAAATTCATATGGGTACAGTGTTGCATGACTGCGCAATTGTCATTCAAAGTGTGATAGCGCTGAAAGCTGAAAATTGGCCTGGGCAGGAAGGGGGGGAAAGTGTCCGGACAGGAAGTGGTTAATAAATCTATAGATCTGACATATACCGCAGTGTTGTACAGAGAACACTGAGTCAGTCACATCAGTCTCTGCACCAAGGAGCTTACACTCTAATGGCCCCGCCACAGTTGCACACTATTATTATAATATGTTTAAACAACCCCCAATTTTAAAAAAAAGTTGGGACGCTGTGTAAAATCTACATAAAAACAGAATTCAATGATTTGCAAATCTCATAAACCCGTATTTTATTCACAATAGAAAACATATCAACTGTTTAACCCGATTCCCGCCAGCCATATAAGGAAATGATGGATGCAAGGTGGTTCTCTCGTTCTGGGAGGACGTCATATTATTTATTTCAGGTACTTGTATAGCTCCGTCAATTTACGCAGCACTTTACATATATATTGTACATTCACATCAGTCCCTAATCCTCAAGGGGCGTACAATCTAAGGTTCCTAACCCTCAAGGGGTGTACAATCTAAGGTCCCTAACCCTCAAGGGGCGTACAATCTAAGGTCCCTAACCCTCAAGGGGTGTACAATCTAAGGTCCCTAACTCACATTCATACATACACATACTAGGGACAATTTAGACAGGGGCCAATTTACCTTCCAGCATGTCTTTGGAGTGTGGGAGGAAACCAGAGTACCCGGAGGAAACCCATGCAGGCACAGGGAGAACATGCAAACTCCAGGCAGGAGGTGCCGTAGCTGGGATGCGAACCAAGGACCCGAGTACTGCCAGGCGGAAGTGCTAGCCATTTAGCCACTGTGCTGCCCAATTGATCATATGACATCCTTCCACTCTAACGGCACGTGTGCGCCCCCGCTGGGATACAGCGGATCACCGATCTGCGGAAAGAGCCGAAGACTTCGGTTCTGTCATGTGATCAGCTGTGTCCAATCCCAGCTGATCGCATGTAAATAAGGAAATGCCGGTTATTGGCAGTCCTCTCCTCACAAGCTGTCAGCTCGTGAGGAGAGGAAAGCCGGTAATCAGCATTCCTCAGAGGGGACATCTACACTGATCATCAGGACACTGATGATTAGTGTAGCCCCATCAGTGCCACAGTGCCCATCAATGCAACATAGTGCCTACCAGTGCACATCAATGCCACATATCAGTGCCCATCTGAGCTGCCGATCAGTGCCGCATCTCAGTGCCACCTAACAGTGCCAGTCAGTGCCGCCTATCAGTGCCAAATATGAGTACTGCCTTTTAGTGCCCATCAGTGATGCCCAACAGTGCCACCTACCAGTGCTGCCTATCAGTGTCCATCACTGCAACCTCATTAGTGCACATCAGTGAAGGAGAAAAATTACTAATTTACAAAATTTTATAACAGAAACTAAGAAAAAAGCTTTTTTTTCAAAATTTTCTGTTGTTTTTTGGTTTATCAAACAGAAAAAACCGAGTGGTGATTCAATACCACCAAAAGAAAGCTCTATCTGTCTCAAAAAAAATGCTGAAAATTTCATATGGGTACAATGTTGCATGACCGCGCAATTGTCATTTACAGTGAAACAGCGCTGAAAGCTGAAAATTGACCTGGGCAGGAAGGGGGTGTAAGTGCCCGGTAGGCAAGTGGTTAAACTGAGAAGATGGACCATTTTAAGAAAAAAGGTAATTTTGAAATTGATGGCAGCAACATATCTCATGGGACAGGGCCATGTTTACCACAGTGTAGCATCTCCTCTTTTGACAACACTCTGTAAACATCTGGGAAGTGAGGAGACCACTTGCTGGAGTTTTAGGAGACGAATATTGTTTCATTCTTGCCTGATATAGTATTCTAACTGCTCAACGTTTCTGGATGTTTTCTTTTTTGTTTCAAGATGCGCAAACATTTTCAGTTGATGAAAGGTCTGGACTGCAGGTAGGCCAGTAAAGCACCTGGACTCTTCTACTAGGAAGCCTTACTGTTGTCATAGATGCAGTATGCGGTTTAGCATTGTCCTGACGAAACATGCAAGGCCTTTCCTAAAAATGACATCTGGATGGGAGCATATGCTGCTCTAAAACCTGAATGTATCTTTCAACATTGATGATGCACATTCTATATGCACTAATGCATCCCCATAGTTTTTCACTTTGCAACAGACCATTTTAAATGAGCTTTGGCCCAGAGAAGACGGTGTTTCTGGATCATGTTCTGATATGGCTTCATCTTTGCATGATAGAGCTTTACTTTGTATTTTTGGACGGCACAGCGAGCTGTGTTCACAGACAGTGGTTTGTGGAAATATTCCTGAGCCCATGCAAGGATGTCTGTCACAGAATCATGGCTGTTTTTAATGGATAAGTTCACCTGACGTTACATGTTACACCCATATACAGGGTGTAACATTCTACTGTAACACCCCGATCTCCCATTGTGAAAGCTAGAGGGGGACCTTCTCCCCCTACTAGCTGTCACAATTTTTTTTTTAAAACGCGGCCGTGTGAGGCTCCGCCCACCAGGGTTCTGTGAATGGGATGCTACAACGGCCGACAGCCTTTGCGGCTGTCGCTTTGTAGCCCTCAATTAACTACCACGGCGCTGTTGATTCTTCCTGTCAACTGCCTGCCCATATAATTTACATGCTGATGGCTCACATTTACAGTCTGCAGGAGTCCTGATGGCACCAGTGATCTGCTGACCGCGGGTGCAATGCTTTCTGGGTCCCTAGAAAAATAGTAAATGCACATTTTTTTACCTGCAAAAAAATGTGCATTTTTAACATTTTTTGAAAAAGTGCCACCTGAGTGTTTAAAGATCACGGGCATCCATTGTTGCATTTTGACCCTGTCCCTTGGGCATAGAGATTTCTCCAGATTCTGGGAATCTTTTGATAATATGAACTGTAGATGATACATTTAAAGTCTTTGCAATTTTACATTGAGGAACGTTATTCTGAAATTGTTTGACAATTTGTAGACGTGGCTTTTTACAGATTGTTTTAACCTCTGCCCATTCTTACGTATGAGACACTGTGACTCTCTAAGATGCTCTTTTTATGCCCATCATGTCACTGACCTTTTGTCAACGTACCTAATTATTAGCAAACTTTTCTTCCAGCTCTTCCTTGTTAGTACCGCTTACTTTGCCAGATTTTTGTTGCCCTGTTTTTTTTCTTACAATGGTACATTTTCTCAATGTAAACATTTGATGTTTTCTATTTTCTATTATGTATAAAGTGTATTGGTTTATGAGATTTGCAAATCATTGCATTCTGTTTTTATGTACATTTTAAACAGCGTCCTAACTTTTTTGGAATTGGGGTTGTTTGATTCTGACATATACCACAGTGCTGTACAGAGAGCACCAAGCCAGTCTCTGCACCAGAGGAGCTTACACTTTAATGTCTCACCATAATCATATACTATTATTATTATACATTTATATAGCTCTGACATATACTATGGTGCTGTACAGAGAACACTAAAGTGGTCCCATCAGTTTCTGCACCAGAGGAGCTTACACTCTAATGTCTCACCATAATCATATACTAT